CACTAGAAATATATGTTAGATCTTATCATCTCTTCCCCAACTTCTTTCAGAGCTCTCATTTCCAGGAACAAGGGGGACGTACGCTTGACAGGGGGCAAGCACAACTCCTTGGCAATATCGGTGTTACGGATCTTAGCGGCCTCGTCGAGGGTCATTCCGCGGACCAACTCAGTCAGATAACTCGAGCTGGCAATAGCGCTACCGCAACCGAAAGTCTTGAACTTGACGTCGCTGATCTTGTTGCTGTCTTTGTCGACACGGATCTGAAGCTTCATGACATCGCCACAGGCCGGGGCGCCGACGAGACCGGTACCAACATCCATAGACTTGGCCATGGAGCCGACGTTTCCTATACGATGCTCGTTAGTATACGTTTCTGGGCCTTCTTTATTTGCGTGTGCGTCAAGTGGGCGTGGTTTGAATGCGCAGCGTATTGTATATGTTGATGCGATGACATCTTGTCGAGGGATGGATGCAGGAAGCTACCTACTTGGGTTGGAGTAGTGGTCCAACAGTGCAGGGATGGTCAGTATTTTCTTCGATGCAAAAAAAGGAAGAAATGGTAGACATATCTTTCTCATGGTATCCTCTGCGCTGCTGCTGCTGAGGAGCAACAACAGTCGACCTCACGGCTTGCTGGATTCCGGAGACGGCCGGGGTGACGCTGCGAGGCGAAAGGACGCCGGAGCGAGGAACAACTGTTACTAGACGACGGAACATTGTGTATGTGATGTGTGTGGTGAATTAAGAGGAGAGTAAAGTATTATTTAGATAGTAAATTGATGATGAAAAGGACAGGTGAGTGGTGATGTCGGGGTTGAGTGGTTAAGTTAGTTAGGAAGAGTAGGGTGTGATGAAAGATTGATAGTTGCGATTGATTAATTATGGTTTCTTTTGGGGGGGGGAAACTTGACTAAGGCCGTCTTATTCACCGGCGCTAGGCGATTTTGAGAAACCCCGTTGCCTCCGCGGAGCCGGCCTCGGAGATAGGGTATGACGTTAAAGCGAACCAGTGGGTGGGATTAGGGAGGTATGCTGTGTATTGTTACTTGTCTGGAATACCCGTGGATGGAAAAGCTATCTGATTGCATAATAGGGGATGACACGTTCTACCAGAAGAATCGGTGTTGGGGGAGGATGGAATGCCAGTTCTGTGGCCTACATCTGAAAGGGTAGACGGGAGTTGTAGTTCTGGGTCCGCCGGTTCTTAACCAAGAAGAAGAACCGGCAGTTTTGGCCAACGGGAAGTTCTGCAGGCGGGCATTACCAAGCGGTACGGAGCAGAGCAGCGGCTGGTATCGTAAGGATGGGCTTATCTGCTCGCCCTCCATCTGATAATGTTTCCTTCCTTTCCCTATCGGATTATTCCGGCCCGAGCATGTGTCTCTTCTTTCACACCCTGCAGTTTGCTCTAGAACCCATTCTAGTTAGTAAGAACCTTTGCTTAGTTGTTTACTTAGACGGGTTAAGTTATCCCGGATGACTTTGGTCGAAAAGCGTATCTTCCTGGCCACCAGTCAAATTCCTTTATCCCTTTTACAAGAAAGAAAGACCGTAAACCATGGCCGGAAAGACACTAGGCCGATCATCGGGCGTGAGTCACTCTTTTCATCTTCTTATTCCTTTGCAATTATTAGTAGTGGTAGTAGTTGCTGGTTTGATCCCATGACAGTTGCTGTGAAAGTATATATTCGGTTTCTATTGAACAGCACACACTCTGGATGATCACCATTCGACTTACCTTAGTAATTAACCATACTATCTATGAACAGTCCCTCAATGCCCCAATAGCCGCCTTCACCATGGCCCTTCTGCTTGGCTCCTACTGCATCAAATCCATCCACACCGCTCGTCGCGAGGCGCAATCCACATCAAGCATCGCAACCACGACGCCCCGACCTACTAAGAAGGCAGAGTCGCAGTCTTCATGGGTACAGCAGGCACTGGAAGAAAGTCGAGAGGGGGAGAAGTGATTCTAAATCTTACACAAATTATGCGTTGTATATACTACTACTACTTATTGCTTCATGTCTGGGACATTTTTTCAGATTTTCATTGCATTAAATCAACACACATAACAATCTGATATGAAATGGCTAATATCAACACCACAAACACAACACATCAACATCATATCAAATTAATCCATTATCAGAATTTTCAGTGTATCAATGATCATATCCCATATCCATGGCGGATAACGAGATCTACCATTAAAAAGTTATTCATCATATAAATGGAGTCAAAATGATAATATAACCACCGGCACACAAAAAAAAAAAGAAACAACGATTCAATCGTAGAGAAAAGTAGTAAGTCGGATATGCATCAATCATTCATCATCATAAGCACAAACACATTATCGCGCAATAGAAGAATGATATCAACCAACAGTGTCGGTTAATATGGCTTTCATTATAGCCATGGTTGGTGGGAAGGAAACAAACCGCACAGAGAATTTCGCCGGTGGTTTTTAGTGTGGTTATCACGTGACTTTCCCGCTGATGTCAGTCATGTGGGAAACGGACGGAGAGGGGGAATGCAGCTGCGTGCATGGATGATGGATGTAATGCCCCCCAGATTATTTTCATTAAGTTGGCTGAGTTGTTATTTGAACTGTTGTATGCTATTTATCTTACTACGGAGCATATGTTCTAGAGGGAAGATTTGTATGTATATACAATCGCAATTGAGGTTTATCGATCCGGGGGAAAAAAAGACAAGAACGCTCAGAACCATAAGAGTCACCAAGGATTTCAACAACTCAGAACAAGACTAGTTTGTTTGGAGTTTCACATGTCAACAGCACATCATACATCTACCCCTACTCCGCAGGGGTGTATCGCTGTGCCGAGGATGTGTCGAAAGGATCAAAACAACGTGCAGGCAGGATATCATGGGCTGCAGCCCAGGAAATGAATGTCCTCTATAGTAGTGTATCTTCGCGATGTACGACTAGCACGGAACAGAAATAAAATCGCTAGGGTGCAATAAAATCCCAGCTCAGGTGCGATGCCCATGGCTCGTCACCTCGTCACAGACCATCCATCTAGTAATTAGATTCCATTGTCTGATGCGGTCTCCAGCTTCTGCAGCTTCAACTCCCCCTCATGTTGCACGTGTCCAATTGTTTTCTTCAAGTACTCGTAAGTGAGCATGGTAGTCATCGCAGCCGGGACTGCCCGGAACAGGTTCGTGCCGATCCCAGAGTAGAATGCGCGCCAGCCTTCTTCTCTCAGAATGGTCTGGCATGTGCGAATGATCCCCGTGTACCGGGGTCGATTGGGCATCCCGTCCGACGAAGCCGCACCCGGGGGCCTGCTATGACCCTGGGGGTGATCCATGCCGCCGCGGAACGAGATCTCTTCGGGTGAGGACGCCGGTGATGTCCTCTGCTGTGTTTGGAGTCGTGTCCGAAGCACTTCATGTGGGTATGTCGCAGTGCTGGCACAAACCTTACTCAGGAATGTCGCGGATGTAATGCCCACCCAGTGTGAGCTGCCAGTATCAGGATGTTCGCCAATACTATAGCCCGTAAATGCCATCTTCAAGTATTCGTAGAGAGGGAACTGGATGGCCACATGCGCCAGTCCCAGCAGCGCTGGAGTCAGGCCGGAGTAGAACGAACGGATTCCTTCACTTCTGTACATTTTGCGGGCCGCATCCCAAGTGTTTTTGTATTGCCACGGAGCCCGGTAGCCTTCGCTGCTTGACCGGAGGCTCTGTGACATAAGTCGTGTCTTAATCACCCATATCGGATTTGTCGCAAGTGTCGAGCAAGCGCCCGCCGTTATCGAGGCGTAACCTCGTGAAAGCCACCAACTATCTATTCCAAGGTCAGCCCTACCATCATCAACCCCTGATTATCACTCCTCACCTGTTGTTTCGTAGAAATACTCCCGAGACCGATCATAGACCGCTAGATAGACCGCCCACGTCGGCAGGTATCCCAGGAGCATAGGACCCAATCCTTGATAAAGGCCTCGAATACCATCTTCCCGCCATATTACTCGTCCAGTTCCCAGCATTCCCCGGTACAGTGTCTTAGCCTCGACCGCCTTGCCACCACGTCGTCGCGCGAATCCACCCTGAGCCTGCAACTTGGTCTTGATCACATCGAGAGGACAGGTAACGATCCCCGAGGCGACGCCCGCACTGGCCCCGCAAAACGGTGTGATGTAATAATCCGGCACACGTGTAGCGAGCATTTCGAAGCGATCCAGGAAAGTAGGTTGGGGCGGAGACTCGGCCGATACATGAAGCGTAGACGATGGCGGGCTGTCCGAAGTTGTACCCTGCTGCTCTTGAGAGCCGCTGGCAGCCCCCGACGGGCCATGGCCTTCAGAGAACATCTTTCCAGCCAGCGCTCAAAGCAGTATGCAATCCGTCTACTATGTCACCGAGGGTTCCCGGATCCGAGCATATCGGTGCTCGCTCCGGAACCCACAAATAACCCGTGTGTCAAATCGTGGTGAGAGGGGAGGAAAGCGTGACGTCGTTCGGGGCGCTGGTAGAACAGGAAAAACTACCCTGAGACAGTGAATTGAAGGGTTTTTATCCCAGAGAGGAGCCGATGCTGCCGGGAGGAGTGGGCGTAATAAGGTTGGCCTATCTGAAGCACAGACGGGGCGGGGTCTGTAGGAGCAACGCAGCTCCCCTATCGGAGTGAAAGGGAATCGAACTAAGAAAAATGTTCAACGGATTGATGATAAGCGGCATGCCCAGTGAGTACAAACCGAAGTATTAAATCAAAGACCGTCGGTGTGAAGTCCGAACAGAAGGGAGCGCCGGTGTTAAGAGGAAGCAGACGGAACAGGACGGAGCAATGAGGACGGGATGAATTGAGCTGGAGGGATTGTCTTAGTCGTATTCCAGTCAGTCAGGTGGAGTGGAGTTCGGGAATGAGGGAATCTTGTCCGCCTCCAAGCGCGCCGCTTATTTGGCCTGAGGCACACACACATGGCGCAAGCTGAGCCGGTCACGTGGAAGACAGTCTTGACTGTACTTCTCGGAATGATCCCTTCTGCCTTAGGCATCAACATCGGATGTTTTTGGGAAAGTCACCCGCCGAACCTCCGTTTTGCACAATCTCCAACGTCGGGCCATCTCCTGCTCAGCTTGACTGACATTTCGCGATCCTCCCCCTCCACACCACCCCGTCAATTGGACCCGATCAACCCCGCTGGGATCATTCACCATGTCCGCTCCCTCCCTCGCCAGCTACATCGTCAAGCGCCCCTTCCTCAAGCGCTGGATGATGCCCATTGCCCAGTGGTACACCGATGCCTCTGGTTACAGGAGACTCGGCTTGAAGTAGGCGACTCCCTTACCTTCCTGGGCGGTTCTCCCGGACCAACATCAGCGACTATGAATCAATGGAAAAGACAATGGATAGATTTCAATTGCGGGGGGATATGTTATACCAGCACCCTCCACTTGGCTATCCATGTCATGTTTCTGCCGTCGCCCGCTGGTCCGGGCATCACGAACCAAGCCCATACCCATACCTCCATTGCAGCCATCAACTAACAATCAAACCAGGGCTGATGACCTGATCCCCGAGGAGAACGACGTCGTCCAGAAGGCCCTTAAGCGTCTCCCTCCCAAGGAGGCCTACGACCGTGTCTTCCGCATCCGCAGAGCATTCCAGGTCCGTCCCATACCGAACGAAACCCAACCCAACTACAGAAAGAACATAAAAACTAATATTACATGCGCAAAAATAGTGCTCCATCTCTCACACCCTCCTTCCCGCTGCTGAGCAGACCAAGCCCGAGGAGGTGAGTCGAATTCAATCCGTCAATTGCCCGTTCAGTTTCTCCGCAAAAACGCATCGGCCAATCCCGTGAGCGGGATTTGTAACCCACCTGGGTTACTCCATATCGATGCTTATGTTGACTGGACTTGATATATTGTCTTTTTTGTTATGATGATTATCGCGTTTATGACCATATTCATGTGGTGGATGCTAACTGTCGTCGTCCCCCAGGATGTCGAGTACCTGAGCCCCATCATCCGCGAGATCGAGAAGGAGAAGCAGGAGCGCGAAGACCTCGACGCCCTTGTCGTCAGACGGTAGATTATGCCTCTGATGGCTTCGCTGAACTAGATTACTTTTGTTACGGTATACAAAAATGCCGCTGGGGTTTTATAGACGGGCGGGTATCACTAAGTATCAGAGAGAACTACTTGCTGTCCCGGCTCGGCTCGGCGGGCATGCTGCGAAGAAGAGAGGGGGAAGAGAGCATTTGGCTGGTCGTTAATTGAAGCTTTTGATTTATGGTGCTCAATCACGTGTACTGATACTGTACAAATTCACTCGTCATCGTTCTCTAGTTGGCTGTAGCAGACCTATATACGTTCGACATCTCCCGAGTAATGTACATATAGTAGTTCTACACACTATACCCATCCGATGCTTGAGATCTATATCCTGTCTGTATATACCAAGTAGTATCTAGCCACCCAACACAGCAATATTGACATCCGTCACCCGCCACATATACCACATGAACAAGCTCCTAGTACCAATGTCAGACAACAACCCATTGAAGAAATCAAAGAACACCACATACCTATACGGAGCAAACTTCGCCGCCAGCCCCAACATATCCTTCTCAGGCATATACTTGAACTTACCGCCACCCTTTCCCTTCAACTTGTTTACATCCTTGCCCACAAACACCGCACAACCTCTCCTGCAACAAGTCAGCATCTACCCATCACACCCATCACCACCCACAGATAATGGAAAAAAAAAGAACATACTGTACACCCAAATCCCCCGTGGAAAACACATCTATGCGCTTCAGCGCAAAACAAGCAAACATCTCAACAGACCATTTACCCAGACCCCTCACAGCAGTCAACTTCTCCACGAGCTCCTCATCACTAGCATTCAACAACATCCGGGCACTCAGTTCCCCGTTGGCGAACTTCTCCGATAACCCATGTATGTATTCCGCCTTGCGCTGGGATAGACCTGCTGTCCGGAGCGTGGTGATATCCTTTTTGATGATATCTTCCGGGGTGGGGAAGAAGCTTGTTCTTATTGTACCACCATCTTCATCCTTATTATTATTGGTATTGAACAATGCCACAAACTTATCCTTAATCGACTTCGCCGCTGCCCCTGACACCTGCTGTCCGATGATACTGCTAACGAGGCTCCGGAACGGATCGATCTCCTCGGCTAGACCCTCCGGCGTGAACAATGGGCAGGGATGTTCGCGGATGAGCGATTCGAGGCGCGGATCTGTGGCGATTAGGTGTGCGGCTGCTTTCTCGAGAAGTGTGCCTGTTGTGGCGGTGGGACGGGGCCGGCCTGTCTTGCTTGGAGAGGCGTCTGCATCTGTGCCTGGGGGGTAGGCGACTAGTGATGAGCCGTGGGGGGTTAGGAGCGTTGCGTTGGTGTGGTGCGGTTCGACGGGTCGGTCGAGTGGGGGAGGGGTTGTTCTGCTGCTGGGGGTGGGGATGGGGTCCCAGATGTTGTTAGTAGTAGTAGTGGTGGTGGTTGTGGTGGTAGTGGTAGTATTAGGTGATTGTCTGCTGTTGTTTGAGCGCGATGATGCTGCTGCTGCGGGCTTTCGTGTCTTTGAGACACCGTTTGTGGTTCTGCTGGCTGCTCTCTTTGTTTGAGTTCTGGGTTGCAGATGTGGGACAGAGGTAGCAGTGGTGGTGGTGCTGTTGTTCTTGGACACTGACGCTGCGGTTAGACGAGCGGAGCGTCGTAGGGTCATCATTGAGTCAGTCGCTGTTCAGCAGAGTATATCTTGCTTTAAGATATATGTATTAAAAAGTGATTGAGGTAAGGATATTATTGCTGCTTCTGTTAGTAGATGGTATGGTCAGTCATGGCGGATCGTATCATTGGAGTAGTACTATGATGAGGATGGAGTACATAAGCTCGGGAAGTCACGAGCAGCAAGCTGTCTTAGCAATCAACTTGGTTGGTTTCCTGTCTTTGTCAGTTTTCCATACCGCTTCTTGTTGCGGATTTCTCTGCATGCGTGGTAGTATTCGCTTATCCCCCGCATTTGGGAAATGTGAAACATTATCGCTCCAATTTGAGGTCTTCAATCACTTGTTGTTGTGTCATATGACATTCCGTGGTTAGACACGCTGTATGTTGAGTAACATAATAAACCTGCAGAATCATGGGTTCTGGGTATGATTAGTCTAAGAAATGAAACCAAGAGTTGATTGTAAATCATAATAATTCAAAATATTTTAGACTGAACATCATGATCATAATGGCGGAATATTGATACTGATTCTAACTGGTGGCAGCTACGCTGTACTGCAAACATGATTGTCTCGTGCCGGGCAGTCCATCCCCTAACTTTAAAATATACATTCGTTCTTACAGCCCATACATACTATTCTCTCTCATCCACACTCAATTATGTACGTACAAAGTAGTAACTATAGCCCTATCCACGGTTCGCAGCCAATTTTTCTAGAATAATAAGAATGTGGAATATTTACCCGGTATGGAATCCTCCGGAAAGAGGGGAGCAAAAATACCCAGAAAATCTACTAACTATGGATCTCGCGATGCGTTGGGCCGTAGGCATCAATCAATACCATCACCAAACGTTGCGATTTCATTTATCTGAAAGGAAACTGTCCGATTGGCCATGTTTCACCGGTTGATATGTTGTAACTTGTAAGAGCTTTTGATCCGATAGTCGCAGGCATCACTACTACATAGTACTACGTATTCCATAGAAGAAGATATGATCAATATGTTGGTCTGGTGGTCCACGATGATAAGATGCGGAAGATCACCGAAATCGCTAACATGACTGGTGTATATTCTTTAGGCTACTTGGTGGGTAAGTAGGACTTTAGAGTCGGACGGAAACGACCGAATGCAGTGAGCTTGCGCGTCATCTTTATAAAAAAATTTTTTATCTAGAGGCAAAAAAAGACGTTGTGTGCATCCACGTAGGTAAAGTAGTTTTGGGAAGTGTGGCCCAGCCACTAAAGTAGGTAGGTAGGGTAGATAACTAAACTACGGACCTTCCATAGACAGTGAAGTGCGTGGTGAACCTACAAAGAAAGTACCAAGGTATAGATCCCCCCTAGAGGAAGCCGGTTCCATGGGATGACATGTTCATTCGTGGTAGGTGATTGGTAAGTAAGGTCTAGTCCACCAGGTAAAGTAAATACTATCTAACAACAATTGAGCGATGCCTAAAGGGGGCGCAAGGACAATCCTCCGCTGGTCGGCGAGTGGGTTTTTTTTTTGTTGTAAGTATGTCCCATCATCCACTGCATCCATCATATTTTGCCCGAATGGGCATTAAACCCCGTATTGTGTACTCCCGTAGACAAATAAGCATCGGTTCATCTATACCGAGCATCTTATCCCGAGAAAAGAAAAAGCTTCGCTCTTCGCAATGGAGGAGAAGGCATACGTATGTTTGCTTTTTGCCCCGCTCATTGAGGTTCTGAACATCATGGGATCGGGGTGTGGCTAAGAAAAAGGGGGTCGGTAGTTATTGGGGCTACGTTACTATGGTGACGATGGTCGGGGTGAGTTGTCCCATGCCGACAAGCTGATCCGGTCGGTCCCCTAGTACGGGCTTTGATGCTAAAGCTCTAGTGAGAGGATTGGGTCGTTCTAGCCGTGATATAGGGGGTAATTGGGATGGATGATTTATGGTTTGTTATGATGGATAGGGGAGAGTTATGATGTGCAGTGCTCGGCAAAAGTATCTTATGAAGAGGGTGTATCATGAAATGTCCTGGGAGTTGTAGAACGCCAAAATCATTCCGATGCTTTTGGACCTCATTGCCACTGCTGAATGATCTGTCAAAGACAAAGTATACTCCGTCCTCGAACAATTCATTCCCAACCCCTCTACATCATAAGTTGTCATACTGGATGCGTCAGACTGGGAGACCATATTCAATCCTTATCAGGCAAAACAGTGCTAGCCGGTTCCAGCCACCCGCGTCTAGTGGCGTTTGGGAGAACGTGCTCGGTGGTAAGATTTATCGGCTACTTCATTAGTACATGCGCTTTATTACGCAGCGTCAGAAGTGAAACATCGGCAATGAAAGAGGTTGCAGCAGCTTGCGTTGGCCAAGCCGAGGTTTAACATGATTATCATTTGAGAGGCAAAATCGACCAACTCCATCCGAATATAACACCACCGCGAACAAGAAATAGGAAATCTCATTAAAGTCGGTTGCAAGGGCGTCTCGCGCCACTTAAGGAGCGAGATTATCTCCCAGGGCAGTCTTATTATTGCGACGGATAGTTGTGGAGTAGGAATGGGTCTGATAGCTGAAGAACTCTAAACGGATCGAGAAAGAACAAGCAATAGTGGCAGCGACCACGGCGATCGCTCTTTGCCAGGTTTTGATAATGCGCGCGGGATTCTCCTCGCAGGGAAGTAATCAATTATCCCGTTATTCCTTTTTGTGACGGGTGAGAGGATCATAACGACCGGAGATCCCTTACAGCGCATAGCCGGGTGTATACATGAGATCGGACTGACTCTTTCTGCAACCGTTCAAGATCTGAGACTCGGATGGAATTTGTCTCGCTTTTGAAAGTCCCAGCGAGGCAGCTATAGATCATGTCATATCATGGATGTTTCGAGTCATTGCCACTATGAAATTAGCATGGGAAGAATGCGCCTATAGGCAAGCAGCTTTGGACTCTGGCTGGCCGCGCCGGGAGTGTCTAATCATCTTATCCAGCCGGCCAATTTCTATCGCGGTATGGTATGTAAGATACGACGACTGGAAATTACAGCACCAGCAACTCGGAGTACTTTGTGGCCAGGCCAAGTGGGGGCCACTAACAGTGGGTATGGGAGTTACAGCCGTGTTACGTATAGTTGTAAGTCACACGTGATGCTCTCCCCCTCAGAGCCATCGATTCGCCACTTTATTATTAGCTTCCCGAGACATTGTTTTGTTATGATTCGGTATCCACCGGTACCTGAAGCCAAGACGAGAATTGAGTTTTCAGGCATGAGGTCCAGCGCATTCATCTTGGAAGTCAAAGAACAAGAACAAGAATGAGTTCAAACTGAAAACGGGGATCATAGCAGTGCCACAGAATGGACCGTTAGAGAAAATACCTTTCTTTTTTGCATTCGCCTCAGTCGTCTGCCGTTTTCTACACACATACGTGTCAAGAGGCAAAAGCAACTCAAAGGCATCTAGGCGACCGAAATTCCAACACGCGAACAGGGCGCTGCATACCAACGTAAGGCAGGCAAAGGACAGGACTTGTGAGGGAGGACGGAGTCGAGTCCGCACTAGGAGGAAAAGCGGATCCCCCTCAGATTCCAATAAATTCAGATCGACCACTATACAGCGACCGGACTCGCTAGGTGTTGTTGAATTTGATACTAGCATTCTTAGAAGCTTCGTGGTGTCACTCATGCTGCTGGCGATGGAAAACAAGCTGACTTGGCTGCGGTTGAGTGCGAAAGGGATAAATAATAGGCGAACAAAATCGATGGTGGAGCGAAGGGATAAGCCAATACTGTGTTGGCAATATGAATATATCCTCCATAGATACTCCGGAGATTCTACTGTAGATAATGAGTCGACCTCACTAGATCACACAGGCCATCGCAGGTTCAGTGAGATACATGTATATTTTGTTCCTGGTATAGGATGCTAATATTAGTCAGGACCTCCCTAGCAATGCGCGATTGGGGTCTGGCCCCTCCTAGCGGCAGGATGCTAAATTTGTCGGTATTGTTACCTGCCACAACGAATGTCCGTGATGTATCGAGTTGCATTCCATTAGAGGAGTCACCTGTCAGTTGTGGTTGACGACTTCCTGATGGTTTCAGCAGTGAGATGCTGATGTTTTGAATGGGTGGCGGGGGGGCACCAATGGATGATGCCGGGTTGTTCATAGATTTCACAAGTCAGATCGACTATTGTAGTATGACGTTTGAGTTGTGAATGGGAAGCCCACTTCACCATCACAACCAGAAGAAACGGGGCCAGACTTTTTCGATACAGTCAAAAATACGGAGTAAAGTTGCCTGCGGGAGTGGTTGTTAGTATCTAGTCCGATTCAAGCTGCTGCATCGGCTCGAGCAATGAATACAAGCACCAGAAGCCTATGCTTGGTATGAATGGTCAGGATTTGCTGAGAGCCTGAGAGACGGGGGAAGAAGGGGGGGAGGAAGAGGAGCCAAAGGGAAGGCACAACGAATCAGCAGACGCATGAGCAAGAAGTTGGCCATTGGCGAGGTGTTACAGGATGGAGCAAACTAAACCAAATGGACCATTCGTTTCCAGGACCAAGATCAGGATTCCTCGATTTCTTTTTCCGCTCTCCGTTACCGTGGGCCAATCGCCCCCCCTCGAAGTTAATTAATTAAACCCGGACAGGCACGGTAAATTGAGTAAATTACAGGTATGAGCAGCGTTCATACGCAGGTCCGGTAACGTCGCAAGGAGAGAAAGACGCCCCCCTCCCCGGTCTCAGGTCCACCAGCCTTTTCGGGGCCACGACTCCTTTCTTGCCTTGATTTGTCCTCCCTGAAAGTCTTCCCACTTTCTTTTGAAGAAGATTTTCTTTTCCAGCCATCCAGTCCTTCTTTCCCTTTCCTCTCTCGTTTCTCTCGCTTTCCTCTGTCCTTCCCTTTCTTCTCTCCCCTTCTTCCCTTCCCCGTGCAAATCGTGCCTGCCTAACCTGCGCACTTTCTCTCGCTGAGGGTCTTCGTTCATAAAGCTTCTCCTTCGTTGAAGCTCTTAATTCACTCGCTCGCTTATTTATTGTCTCACAAGCCCCCCTTCTTCAGCTCTTACGCTGCTATCCGTGTCAACAAAGGGCCTCGCCTCGCCCCAGTCTGCATACTTAACCATCAGCCGTCATTGGTAGGTCGACTTTTTCCTCTGATTCAAGTTGCTGTCTGATCTGCTATCTTTGCGCCTGCCACGACGGGGATTGGATCTGTTGGATTGCAGTGCGAAGGACCTTGGCAGTGGCTCAGAAGCAATCGAGGTGAACATTGGTGACTGACATCTTCTCCACTATACAGTCTCAAATTATCCTAAGCAATGGCTTTCATCAAATACGCCCTCCCCGCTCTTGCTGCGGCCCAGGTCGCCATGGCTGCCAGTGAGTACCACCCGCGATCATCTGGATGAAGTGAGTAGTGAACGGCACGTACTGATAACAATATAGGCTGTGGTAGCACCGACAGCACCATCACCATCTCCAGCCAGAGTGACCTTGACAGCTACGCGACCTGCACCACCCTCAAGGGTGATGTTGAGATCAGCGAGAGCGCCTCTGGTGACCTCACCCTCAGCGGTGTCACCTCCATCACTGGTGGACTGAGCTGCACCGGCGGCAGCAACATCACCTCTTTCAGCTCTTCCTCCCTGAGCTCCATCGGCGACACCTTCAAGCTGGACGGTCTCACTACCCTTACCACCCTCAGCTTGACCAACCTCACCAGCGTTGGCTCCATCTCCTGGACTGCTCTCCCCGAGCTGCAGTCCCTGGACTTCACCAAGGGTGTTTCCGAGGCCGGCAGTGTCACCATCACCAACACTGGTCTTACCAGCTTGGACGGTATCTCCCTCAAGACCGTCGGTACCTTCGACATCACCGAAAACACCAACCTGAAGACCGTCAACGTCAACGAGCTCACCAACGCCACTGGTCTGATCAACTTCGCTGGTAACATGGACTCCCTGCAGATTATCCTCCCCAACCTCGGCACCGGTACCAACATGACCTTCCGTAACGTCAGCGGTGTCTCCATCCCCTCTCTCGAGACTCTCAGCGGTCAGCTTGGTTTCTGGGGTAACACCTTCACCAACTTCAGCGCTGCCAACCTCACCACCACTGGTGACCTTGTCTTCGACGACAACACCAAGCTGAACAACATCAGCATGCCCGTCCTGAAGACCGTCAACGGTGGATTCCAGATTGCTCGCAACGACAAGCTTAAGTCCATCAACTTCCCCGACCTGAAGGAGGTTACTGGTGCCATTGACTTCAGCGGTGACTTCGACGAGTAAGTTTCTCCAGTTGCTTTGTGCCGATGAGACGTTATGTTTACTAACTCGCGTGTCCAGGGTTTCCCTCTCTTCCCTGACCGAGGTCAAGGGTGGCTTCAACATGCAGAGCACTGGTAACTTCAGCTGCAGCGCCTTCAAGACCCTGCGTGAGAACAACGTCATCCGTGGTACCTACACCTGCAAGGCCAGCACCTCCGACCCCACCACCAGCGATGGATCCTCTGGCACCTCTTCCTCCACCACCAGCAGCAGCAGCTCTTCCTCCACCAGCAGCGACAGCGCCTCCGTCATGAACGTGGCCAACATGCCCGCTCTTGGTCTTGCTGCCGTCCTCGGTGGTCTGATCCAGTACGCTCTGTAAAGGACAACTTGATACCAAACATTTGTGTGTACGCTTTTTTGAAACCCTTATCATGGTCGTGTAAAGTTGCCTAATAAGCAATTGGTTTCCTTTAGTTCCAGTACTCTGCTGTTTCTTATGATAATAATTGAATATCGGTTTGCTTGAGTAAAAATTCGCACGGCGTGGCATTGTGCCTCGGGAGATGAATTGCTTTTTTTATTTTTTCTGTTCATTTTGAGCATGAGCATCAATTTTATTTTGAGTCGTGACAGGTGAAGCGGGTCGAGGGAGGGTGATAAATTGTACGAACCGGACACCTGGCGAGGCGCGCGAGGTGGCTGGGTTTGCTGCGGTCAGGCCTCTTCTCGGCCCTGTGAGCTGTCGGATTGTGTTCTATAGACGTTCCTTTGCAGTTTACGTGTGCGTTTTGCTACATGACAGTATGTTGTTCTTACTCTATACGCTAATTCGCCGTCCATAATTGACGTATCCTATTTCTCATTCTAAATTGAGATTGCCTCCACATCCTTCTGCCTTTTTCAGTAGTGGCTTGGTGTGGTTTGGTGTGGTCTGGCCTGGTCTGATGTGGTCCGAGGGCAACTTTGTCGGATGTACTTATGTCCTCAGTTTGCAGCAGGAATACGGTCTCGTGCTGCCTGCTGTCTGTCTGCCCGTCCGCCCGTCTAACTAACATCAGTAGCACCAGCAGCAGCTACTGCTGGTGCTGGTGCTACTGCTACATGACCGTGGCGAACGGAAAGTTAAAGCCCGCGCAGATGACCGGCTCTTGCCTCCCCTTCCCACCTCCCGAACCAGGTGCATATGCGAGACTGACTGCAGTGCTGGCCGTAAGACACCTCACTCAGAAGTGGGACTCAGGGCAGTGAGCAGATACCATTTTGTCTCTTCTTCCCCCTTTATTCTCTCTTCCCTTGTAAATATCATGGTAGTATATACATATAGGCGAGTGAGTATTTCAGAGTAGAGTTGGAGTCAACGATTCTTTCTTTATCTCTCTCTCACGCACTATGTCGTGGGAAGAGAAAGAGCATCGACTTTATTTACTACATCTGTCATCGTGGATCTGAGGCCTCGATCGTGGGATTCAAGGTGCTCGTGAATGTGCGTGGGTAGGATGCAACCATACCTACCTACTTACATATACATATACATATATATACATACAGAGTACATATTTCCAGAGCTATGAGAGCCAGTGAGTGTGAGTGTAAGTGGAGATTTCCAGGCAAAGCAAATTGTCGTCTGACTGACTGACTGACTGTCTGTCTGTCTGCGTGTGAGTTCAGCTGAGCTGAGCTGAGCTGACTTGCCTGCTTGCTTGGGTATTTTGAGATCGACTTTAATCTCCTTTTCGGGCTGTCTGTCTGTCTGTCTGTTCTTTCTGCGGGAGAGCGGGCGGATTTGCTTGGTTAGTTGGTTAGTTAGTTAGTTGGTTGGTTCGTATGTATCGTAGGTAGGATCGATCTTAATCTCTCTTACTAGTACTACTCCACTGCTGCTGCTGCTGCTGCTGCTGCTGCTGCTGCTGCTGTCTCTCCATCTGTTGCGGGCCGCAGATGTGGATTGGAGTCGAGTCCCGGAATGACCGGGGTTTATTGTTGTTGTGTGTCGCAGTAGTAGACATGCATGCATTGGCCTATATCTCTCATTGTAGTACTCTGTAGATGGACTTGGTTGGTTGGTAAGTAGGCCACTTCAAACGTATGTGGGTGTTCTGTTTACTTTCCTTAGCACCCCCTCCCTCCTCTCTCTCTCTCTCTCTCTCTCTCTCTCTCTCGGTGAATGATTATGTACGGAGATTAAGCAAGTACTACTGTAGTTTATTAAGTATATAGGTTATTGTGTTGTGGTTGAGTGGGTAGGTAGGTAGTAGAGAGATTGATGTGTCAATTCAGTTCCTTTGAGGGAGCATGGAAGGGGTGGATGGTTGAATTTGTGTTTTGTTTATATCTAGTAGTAGTTGGGTAGTTAGTTTAATTAGTACTTTTGGTCAGAGTCTGTTTATTAGGTTGAAAGTTTGATAGTCAAGTTAATTGGATTACTGTTATGGATAGTTGGTGGAGAGAAAAAGTGAAAGTCTGTCAATAGTACGAAGGACTATTTAACTCTGAGTATGGATGGATTCAATCTTCATGGTGGAATATACTACTGAGGGATAGTCACTGCATGTGTAGGTTATACTATCTATCTTGCTACTTGCTACTTGCTGGTTTTGTTGGCAGTGTAGAAGCAAGGTATATACATATGCGGCAGGTTTCACTTTATTTTCTCACTTTAACTTCATGCTTGACAGATAAACCTCACCTATTTAACTAGGACACTTTATTAACTGCAATTGCCTTCTGACTACCTGCCTATCTTTCTATACATCTACTGCTCCGTAAACAACACTGGGGCCCGGATTTGGGATCCCGGTCACCTGGCTGGCCGGATGATTTTCCCTAGCCCAACTGGTGGGTAAATAGACCCACGATGGACGGGTCTGCGATCGGATTGGAATTCCGTAGACATTTTAAATATCGAGTCGATGCTGCTATGTTACCAGAAATTTTTTTACACTTTTTGTTGAGGAGATAATGTTCGCAAGGGCCACATAGTGTCTGTGTGCCTACGGAAGGTCCGGTGATGGTTCGCGAACTGCGCGTGTTCACCCTTTGGGTTGGGAGCGGGGGAAGGTCAAGGCGACGACAAGGAGGCTGTAGGTTGAGGTAGTATGAATGGAAGAGGGGAATGAACTCTAAATACGATTATGGAGATGCCGTCGTACGTAGTGTACCTTTGTTTCATGTTGGTTTATCTCCGAAAGGAAAGAGGTATGTCCGTGCGGCTTCGGGGAGGGGGGAACGAAGAGAGGGGATCGAGGTCTCGAGTGGCTCTCGAGGATCAATAGAGTAAGTGTCTAGTCTTCCTAAAATGAAGGGAGACCAGGAGAGAATGAAAGAAAACAGAAAAAAGAAAAAGGACCTACCTAGTGTTGTGCTAGGCAAGAGGATGATGGAGGTTGAGGATCCATATGATAGATAACCGGATAGGGGATGCCTTGCATGTGTGGATGCCTCAGGTCGGCCGTCTTGAAGCTAGGGTGGACAAGAATAGCATAGCCTGAGGAATTGCCTTCGGAGATCCTCGCCTTTGCTCCTCCGTCAGTATGCAATCCTCCGTGTGTCGGTGCTGCGGCTGAAGGGTCTGGAACCCGGTCTAGTGGCAATGATGAGAGCGTCATTGCTAGTAGCTGGGCTGATCAGGTGTACGAGTCCCTTGAGCCGTAAGGCAGTGGTTGAGGCAAGGTGGTGGCTATATCTGGAACCAGACTCATGCACAAATAGATAATGATGGGGCCTTACAACGCAGGACGAGGTGGACGCAGCACTCCGTATGGAATAATGGAATGCCGGGAGAAGGGCGCCCCCCCTGGGAGCATCTGAAACAATGGCACGAGTTGCTTGAGCCTTACTGGCGGCGGTATTTGACTCTGGGACGGCCTTCAATATCATTCTGCATAAGGGCACTATACAAATGCGGAAGGCAGAGAGATAGGACTTCATGCTAGTACGTGAGCCAGTCTGGCCCGGCCAGAACCGAGTGGCAAAGGATCACATCACGGAGACAAGAATCTGATACATGAGGCGATCTTGCATCGCCGCACGCAGGGCCATCCCGGTCTCTGCTGAGATCCGTGCCATGATGGGCCACGCTAATGTACGTGTGTTCATAAGCGTATCCTCCGGAGCCCTCTCATGGGTTAACTATGTACGTACGTTCAATGAGATGCGTACGTACTACTGTAACCCGACTGGGGTTGAACGGGGCCTAATAATGTTGCACTGTAAGTGCGTCGGGGGGAAGCCGGTAGTGACAGGGAAGTTGCTGTAAGCAAGTCGACAGGTAGACTAGCCCGGGTAGCTTGCGAGCCGGACGACTGGCTACCGGGTTTGGACAACGCATTGAGGGGCGCGAAGGGGTCTAGGCGGGGAGGGTCGTTGCTTCTGTGATGCATCACCTTGGGACAATGATTGGCAAAGGCGTCAGGCTCTTGCTGGGTCTTTTTGCCTCTTTACAAGCGTCCCGAGTCCAACTGAAGTAAGCGGCATGCGATCGGAAGTGCTCTGAATGTTGCTGGTTCTTTGTGATGCGGATGAATTTCTTTTCTGTATCTATTATGACCCTTGGGAGGCTTGAGGGGGAGGGGGACCTCCAAAAGCAAAGGATTCAGTCAACTGTCAATGTGTCAGCGGCAGTCCGTGTCAGTTTTGCTGCCTCTCGACTGTTGGACCCGCCAGTCGACGCTGTGTAACCAATTCCAAATCTAGACCAAACTTAAATCACTCCTCGGCTTTCCCATTTCCTGCCAGTCAGGACGGCCTTGCACCCTATTCGAAAAAGAGACCGATGATGATGGTCCTCGAGTCATCAAACCCAAGGTGACTCGGTACTATGGTCGAACCCAAATCGCAATGAACCGGTTCCCCGTACTTCGTAAATCGTGCTATGGATCTCTCATGGACACATTAAGGTCCACTTCAGCCGCTACTCTCTCTCTCACTCTCCCTCTCTATTGATGGATTGTTGCCCTTCCGTCGCTGCTGGGGATTCCCTGGTTGAAACCAATAGATTGGCACTTATCGATGCTTCCAGGCCCCGATATTTCGGAAAATAAGCGAAACTTGTCAAGTCAGTGTCCTTCGGGCAATTTTCTAAGGTTTTAGTCCATGGGCCCGTGAGCCGGGGGAGCATGTAGGAGCGCAAGCACATATGCCATCTATGGACATAGACTCAGCGAGAGTTTACGAGTGAGTTCGTGCCTGGTGGCCACTGCGTGCGAGCGATTTCTGATCGAGCAGGGGTGGCTACTCTTTCAACTGGTGTCCAGTGTTTCATGACTTTGTTCTGGTGGATGTATGTACTGCCAACTCAGCACTATGGAGCTTGGTACTTTGGAGCCTCCACTATGGTACTATTGGTGGTTTTGAGGGGGCAAAACCGATCGGACATACTCGTTGATATGGCCTAACAACACCATCGGCGGCAATCCTCGCTATCGCCGCGCGGCGCCGTCTGCTGAAGAAAGGGCGGCTAAGTGTAGCGATAACGTTCAAAGGCGCCATCGTCATCCTCGGCTACTAGGGCAAAGGACTTGCCTCTCCGGGAATAACGGAGTCCGCCCTAACCATGTTAGTTAATTGATCATTCAACTCTCATGGCGTCCACGCCGCCCTCGGAATTTCCCCCAAGCCATTACCATATGGGAGGCTGGTAGATAGCTATCGTTTGGCGCACAAGATAATGATCGTCCACATTCCTCCTTCAACTCTCTCAACGTGGGGCGGCCTGGGCGTGGCTGGAGCTAGAAGATCCATTGTTCCTTCATCATGCCGCATCCTCAGATCCGGGGGCACCTGAATATGACAGATCTGATCCGGCCGCCACCTTGATTGCTATCTATCAGCGAACCCGGGATAAGGTTTGTCCTGTTTGGTCGTGTTTCCCTCATATGGCTCTTGGCTTTGGTACCCCATTACTCTGTATCGCCGGCCCTCCTTTCTCCACTGACACCCTCGGGGTCTGCTCTCTCCCAGTGAAGAGAGAGTCGTGTCCTTTCCCGGGGGATCTTCCATTCACTGATTGCATTCCCGTCCACCGTACCACGGTTCCAACGAGCGGCACTCCTCAATGTAAACCTGGAAATGGGGTTCCCTCACGCTTCTTCACGCGATAGTCTGGTGGAGTTTTCCGAAACAACTCCTCATAGCGTCTGTCTGTTGGAGACGTCCGACGGCATTCCAAATCCCCTGCCCAGGTCTAAGCCAGCCCACTGCGACGGACTACACCAAGCCTGCACCAAGAAAAGAAGCAGTCCAGAATTGGGTCTGACAGCCGTCACATCCTGGTCGCTGGGATCTCCCAGTGACCCAGGCGTATGGGCCCTTCGTCGGCTGTGGATGATCCCATCTCTGTCCGAGTTTTGACCCCTTCGTTCGGGCCCGTTCGGTAATAACCTGTGCTATTATAGACAAGGCCACTCTATGATCCCATAGCCCGGCTAAACGAGGTTCTCATGGAGACAATGGCTCTGTCGTATGCATCAAGGAGAATCGCCTCACTCGTAACCAGCGAAGACAGGTTAGAACCGTGGAGACTCGTGACAGATTGCGGCCGCTCATTGCCTCCTATCTGACAAAGGTCGATCCCTGGTCTCCTCACACAGCTCTTCCAGGTACCAGGTACTTTTGGCTTCCGTCCTAGAAGTCCTTGCTTCGTGCTATTAGGTCCTATTCCACCTCCTGCCGAAGCTATGATCTGCTTTCGGGGAACCTGCATCTGCCTCTGCATCGGATCATTATGTATAGTACATTCTTACTCTGGGCGTTCATGACCCTTTATTGGTACTTTTGCTTTTCCTGGCCAGATGCCCTCATATGGGCCGCAGGTCAAGACGAGAAAGACACAAGATCGGACCGGGACCGCTCCCGTGGGCCTCACTTTTGCCCTCGATCCCGTGCAGACCATGTGCTATACATAGTAGTATATACGGAGGGGGGTGTGTAGTCTATAGTGGCACTGAGTCTGGGAAGATCGAGGCGATCGAGACGACTTTTGATACCCTCCAACTGGATGGTCCGGATGGCTGATCCGATCTGTTCCCTATAATTTGACGTTTATATTTGCTTCTCCATGGCTTCAGCACCTTGTCCGGTTCGGAATTGGGCCTGTGTTCGAACTGGCCAGACGGATAAGCGCCGCAGAGCTAGTTCCCACACCTGTAACAGCCACCAGTCCGCGCTTGTCCAAACGACGGGAACGTTTTATGCCTCGACGCTATGGGTTTCGCGGATGCATCGCCGCCTGGGCCCAGGATCCGAAGTGGACACTGGGTGGACGGACCATGGCCATTGGCCCGAACAGACTATTGATGACCGCGATGCAAGGGGAGTCGATACCTTTCTTCGCCCCGTGTAGATCGAAAACCGCTGCAGCGGTGACAAATCAAGGGTCTGCGATCCCCAATCCGACTCTCCTTCTTGTTCATCGGGATCATGGCACGTTGATTCGTCGATCCGGTGCTTTGCCTCGCGTCTGTGCCCATTTCTGATAGAGCAATGTCCCATTCTGTTGGAGGGAGTACTATGAAAAGTGAAAATAAAAAGTACTAGTTGATGGGCTGTCGAACTCTGCCGGAAGCTTGTTCATGCATCCCCGCGTGTCCTCATGGGGGAGAGGGAGCAAGGGAAGCAGCAGGATAAGGAAGATGAGGGGGGGAGGAGGAGGAGGAGGAGGAGGAGGAGGGAAGAAGGATGATGAAGCAGTGGAGGCGATGACCAAAGAGGAAGCGGCGCAGAAGGAGAAGGTCCAGATGGAGATGGAGGCTGCAGATAATCTGTAGGGGAAGCAGGGAAGTAGTAGTAGACACAAGGAATAGTATCCCAAGAAGAGAAGAAATAATAATAATAATAATCAAAATAAAGTAAAAAAAAATAAAATATGAAAAAATAAAAATAAAATTAAACCCAAGAAAAAAAAAATAAAAAAGAAAAAGAAAAAAATGGAGAATCCAACGACTCCACCACCATCAAACCATCTATCTGTATGTCATCGTCGATGCTCCATTTCCTTGTTGAGGCAGTCGCAGATCGAGCTAATCCGTTTAGCTTCTGGGGAGGATCCCAAGAAAGCACTTGGTGATACATCCCGAATGCTCTCTCTCTCTCTCTCCCTCTTTCACACACTCTCCCATACTGTTACCGTACTATTCGCATCCTCTCAACCCTTCGAATTCCTCTTCCGATGCAGTTCATTGCCAGCTCAAACTGCACGTCTGAGCGCGCCACCACAATGGCGTCCTTTTGCTGCTCTTTCTGGTCTTTCCCCACTCCCTCCTTCGCCGACTTCCTCATCCATTGCCTCCTCCTCCTTCCCCTCTCCTCGTTCTCGCCTGCGGCTTCCAACATATAAAACATGCAGCGGGATCCTCCCGTCTTGCTCTGTGAGAAGCATTGTGTTCTTCATCATCAAATCTCAGCTGCTCCTCGTGGATTAACCTGATTGTTTCCTCTTGTCTTACTTCTATCCTTAGAAACCCCCCTCATCCTCTTCCTCCCCCCTTGATTGTATCAGCGTCATTGTTGCCACTGAACTCTCATTTACTATCATCATCCCTTGTGGTCCTTATTATTGCCCCTCCCCCTTGAAGCTTATTCTATATACTTCTTGGCTGTGTGGTTTGTTTACTTCACGCCTAATCATCCCGCGCCGGTGCAGACATACATATCAGGGACATTTCCCCTCCTGCCTGCAGTGCATACAGACAAACCTCAGACATACAGCTCTCTAGCTGCAGCCCCCCCGTCTTTCATCTTACCTGCAGCAAGAACCCTCAGCACCATGATGTTTGAAGACATGAACACCATGGCTGACGACATCTCTCGCCGTTGTTCTCTCCCGTAAGTTGTCTTTGAGCCTTGCCGACAGATGCAGCATCTGACGTGACATGCTCCCCCACAGTGTGCGTTCCCTCTCCAGTGCATCCAGCACGGCAGACATGAGCGAGGACCGCCGCTTGCCCCCGCTCCCCCGCGTGGAGCCCTTGCCCCGGGGCCCCTTTGACCCGTTCACCACCAACATCGGTGCCACCAGCTCTCCAAGCTCCCAGGACGCTTTCCCCGTTAGGTCGCTGTGGTCTGAAGCGGAACACATTGTGACTCCCCCATCACCAGCAACCTCCGCCGATAGTTCCTGGCCAGAGTCCGTTCAGTCACAAAAGGCCTTTGACTGGCCACAAGAGCTTTCCCCTGCAGAACTCCTGAACCTCATCGCCCCCAAGCACATTAACCGCAAGCCGCCGTTGCAGCAGCTCTGCGGGCGAAAGCGCAAGGAAAGCATGGTCTCTGCGGATTCAGACGACCAGAGAGAAAAGCACAGAATTGCAGAGGGAAACCGACGGAAGAACCTCAGCCAGCTACATCGTGAGCTGGACAGCCGCATCCATGATTTCTTCTTGGAGCGCGCCGGCTGGAACCCGTCCAAGAGCCTACCAGAGTCCAAGGAGCATATTGTTCAGGCTGCCATCTTTCTCATCGACTTCATGCTTTTAATCATCATCCACTTGATCCGCCAGGAGAATGAGATGCCTCGTCAACTGTCCGAGAAACTGGAGCCCCAGATCCGCTGCATGCAGTTGCAGCAGCTGGTTTCCAGTCTTCAGCAGCAGAACCAGACTGCCCAGCAGCAGATCAAAAGTCTGAAGCAAGAGAACCAGATGTTGGAGGAGCGCAACCAAGCGCTCGAGCTTCAGCTGAAGTCATACGAGCACATGTTCCGATCGCCCAAGAGCGAGCCCCTGACTTCTCAGCCGATCATTCATCACGCCGAGGCCAAGCCACGTAACATGCTCCCCGGGTTGCGGGTATTCTGCGACGAGATTGCCGCCAGCAGCCCTGAATCCTCTCGGCTTGAGTCCCATCCCACAGCGCCAGCTTTCACTTTCGGACATACATACCTTACCCACACACCTTCTATCACACGGTCCTCTTCGCCTGTGTTCGCACACGGGCCTCACTCAGTGCCTGTATCACGGCGTCAATCCATCATCCCGTCGCCATGAATTGGTGCATCTGCCTCCTTCATGATCACTGAGGGAACCTTGTCATGATTCTCCTTGAGTCCATTCCTAGAGCGGCTGTTGCGCAGCCCAAATTTGTTTTTCATCTCATTTAAACTGTGATTTCTGGCATAGCGAGAGCGTTCGTCATCGACATATACTTGGGACAAGTGATGTCTCCTGCACCGTGATCTGTTTACCGTCTGATATAGAGTCCACACTGGACTCAGGCTTTCCTGCGCATCTCTCCTATCGAACACGGAAAAGGCGCAATGTGTACATCATTTGAGAGGAAGAAAAGAAGGAAAAAGGCAAAGAGCGTTTGTTAGGCATTTACGACGGATGGTTTTATTTGGTGTCTGTACAATCTTTCTTCCGTGTTCATATTGGGGAAGGCTATAATTATCTTGTTCACTGGCCAGGATCTGGAGCATTGTGGCGACAGTTTTATTGGGTTGAATTTTCGTTTTCCGCTTTACTATACATACACGACTGATTTCGGTATCTATTTCTTTTGTGATGTCTTCTGCTTATTTTTCAGGGTTCGGTTCCAATGGGGTAAATTTTTGTAACTATCAGCATAGAGCGAGATGACCATGAAAATATTCTTATTTATAAAGAAAAATAAAGAAGTAAACCCAAATGGGGTACAGAGTAGCGGGTGACTGCTTCAAACATGAGGTAGTAGACCTTTGGAAGAGTCGAGTAGATTTGTTAGTAGTGATACATAGTGCAATTCGGTCGTTGAGTTATGCCGTGGATGAGGGTTATGCAGCTGATTAAGGGTCTCCTTAGTCACCCGCGGCTATAAATAAAAAAGAAAAATTAAAAGCGGCGGGCCAATCCCGAAGCGGCCAACTGGACTTTGAGTCTGGCTGGAACTTCGGCGGGTCGAATCTTCCCTGTCAACCTGGAACTTCTCTTCTGTCGACGACCATTCCATTCATCTTATCCTCCCCTGGACTTCTCTGTGTCGCTTGACTGAGAACTGGTCAGATCACTTTGTGTCCTGATCGTTCATCGTCTGCTTCTCACATTCGTTTGAAACCTACTCCTTCTTTGCTGGGGGCCTCCGGTGCCGCACCACGCTCCCGCAGCCAGCCTTTTCCCTACCTTTTTCCTGCCCCGGGCGATCGCTGGCTTCCAACCAAACCCCCCCCCCCCCCCTTCTCCATATCGCATCTCGCATCGTCAACTCCGACCTCCCCTGTCGACGCCTTCGATCCGTCAGATTTCAGTCTCGATTTTGTGTGATCGTCCCTGCCATTATCTGCATCGCGTCCAAACCCGCTCCTTTTCCCTTCCCCGGACGGTCCGTCTCTTCCGCCGCCCGTTCTGCATCGTGTTGTCCGCTCCACGACAGATTGATCGATCTCCCTGGACTCTGGTGTCCCAGCGATAGACATCCCCATCCCCAGAAATCGTCGCCTAGCTGTAGGCGTCGACGGTTTCTGTTTACGAAAAGCGAGACCATTCTGCTCGCTTTCCTGACCAACTCATAATCTTATTTCCCCTTTTTCTCCCCCGTCGCGAAGATGTTGCTCCCCAAGGGTGGTGTAACGTGGAAGTCTGCCAAAGCACGGCTGCCTCCATGGCGGGCTGTTCTGTTCCTGGTCACACGGACCCGTTTTCTGGTCTCATTGGCCATCACTGGTCTTGTAATCCTACTATGGCGTGGCATCAGCAAGTCAGCGTCGGAGATGCAGAGGTGAGTACCTGACTCGACGTTGACAGGGCTGCCCGCGACACCCGGTCCCTGGCAACGACTTGCAGGCACGCGACCAGAAAACGCTAACGGCTGCATGTAGCTTCTACTGCTATGGCCCTTCAAAATCGCCGATGGAGATGAGCATCAACGAAATGGTCGAGTGGACCGCGCACACACAGACCCCTGTCCTCTTCAACCATCACGCCGCCTACGAAGTGAACTCCTCGAGCATCAAGACCGTCGACCTCAACCCCATCAAGTCTACCTCCCAGGCCATCTCGAATTCTGAGCGGGTGCTCATCCTCACCCCTCTGAGAGACGCATCCGAACATCTGGTCAACTACTTCGATCTCCTCTACAAGCTGACGTACCCTCACAACCTCATTGACCTGGCTTTCCTCGTTGGTGATTGCAGTGACGACACCATGGCTGTTCTTACCGCCGAGCTGTCCCGGATCCAGGACCAGGTGGATGAGAAGATTGCTTTCCGTAGCGCGACAATTGTGCAGAAGGACTTTGGGGCTGATGTCGAGATGAACGTCGAGGACAGGCACTCCTTTGCTGCTCAAGGCCCGCGCCGCAAGGCTATCGGTCGCGCCCGCAACTACCTGCTCTACTCGGCTCTCAAACCTGATCACTCTTGGGTCTACTGGAGAGATGTTGACATCTTTGACAGCCCTGATAGCATCATTGAAGATTTCATTGCTCACGACAGGGATATTCTGGTTCCGAGTACGTTGTAACACCTCTATGAATACCACGTTGCAGGTGCTAACCCCGTCGCAGACATCTGGTTCCATCGCTACCGGGATGGTGTTGATGTCGAAGGTCGATGTATGTACACAATCTTCCCTTCACAATCCTCGCTTTGCTAATTCTTGCAGTTGACTACAACTCGTGGATCGAATCGGACAAGGGACGCCGGCTTCGGCAGACTCTCGACCCGGATACTGTTCTGGCTGAAGGCTACAAGGAATACGACACTGGCCGGACTTACCTGGTTGGCATGGGTGACTGGCGAAAGAACAAGGATGAGGAAGTTGAGCTCGACGGTATTGGCGGTGTCAATATCCTCGTGAAGGCCGATGTTCACCGGACTGGCATCAACTTCCCGGCCTACGCTTTCGAGAACCAGGCTGAAACCGAGGGATTCGCCCGCATGGCCAAGCGTGCTGGATACCAGGTGTACGGTCTTCCGAACTATGTGGTCTGGCACATTGACACGGATGAGAAGCCTGGCAACCTCGGAGGCCGCAAGGCATACTAGCTGCTTTCCCGAGTTGATTCTCATTTTCCCGCAGTTTGAGTGGTACACCTATTGTCACATCTCATCCTTTGACGCCTGAATACCCCGTTCCCGTGTACATCCGAGCCCTTGCAGCGGTTCTTTGCATGGAGGCTTTCCTCTTAACGCTTTTATTGAATACTTTTTTCTTCGATTTTTTTTTTTTTTTTTCCCTTTTTCTCTTTCGTGAATGCGTTTCTTCAGACGCGGGGACGGATATCTCACGACGCCGGTAATTAAGTCTTTCTTTGTATTGCGTGCTAGGGTTATGTCTGATTTTTGTTGGCGCTACGGGGACAGTGTTCAGCGGTATTGGAAGCTCATAGAGAGCGAGTGAGCGGGCTCTGGTTGGAGCCTACGTTGTTCTTCCAGGCCCAAGCCATGGGCTCCTTTCACCGGCATGGTGCTCTCAAGCTATTGCTCATCTCCCGGGGACTGCTTGACGCATCATCTGCAGTTAGAGCAGTTGACCGTATTTGGGATGAGCTATACAGTAGCTCAGGGAGGTCGATGAAAGAGGCAGATGAACAGGGCCATGGTGCTTGGCGTCCATGTACATACATATATAGGCTACAATCTGGTGGGTTTGTCATGATTGTAAAACCGATAAGCTAGTAGCAGTAGTAGGAACTTAATAGTAGTCATAGGTTTTAATAGTAGGAATAGTCGAAGATCCACCGGATAAGTGCTGCTCCTGCCTCCCCACCTTTTCCCCGCTTCCACTTCCCGCCATCGGTTCTCTCATCTTGCCGGACTTTTCCCTCAGTTTTCCCTCTCATCACACTTTACACCTTTCTGATTGCGTATCATTGAAGACGAAAACTTCAACACCATGCCTGCCAAGAACGAATTTCTCTGCATCCTCCCGGACAAGCCGGGAATGATGGCCAAGCGACTGGAAGTTCGCCCGTAAGAACTACCCCTCACCTGTTCTTTCTAGTCATCAACACTGACAACACCGGCTTCACCGAACAGTCAACACTTGGAAGGAGTCAAGCCCCTCGTCGAAGCCGGCTCTGTGGTTGCGGGAGGTACATCATAGTTGCCACACTCCCTGTTTTCTCCTGCTTCTCCGTTGCTGACTTCTTCCCCAAATAAGGCGCAATGCTCGACAAGCACCCCGCAGAAGGCGAATCCATGTCCTTCCAAGGAAGCATGATGATGGTATTGGCGGAGACCAAGGAGGAAGCCGAGGCGCTCCTCAGGAATGATATCTACACGAAGAGTGGAGTGTGGGACATGGACAAGGCGCAGATTATTCCGGTTTGTGTTTATTCCCTGCCTCTGCCTCCCTCCCCTTTTGGCAGGCCCATAATCATGCGTACCTTTTTACTGACATGTGGGCGGTTATAGTTCAAGTCTGCCGTTCGGTTGGCATTGTAGATCTTCTTTTCCGTTCCTGTCACATATCACATTCCATGGTATATATGAATGACTCAGTTTATTGCATAGCGAAAGTGATAGTACCTTTGGTTATTGATACTATTGGAGTAAGTGGGTTTATTTATTCATGCAATGCTTTGCGCGTGGCTAGTGCAAGGTAGGACAGCGCAATAATAGTACGTGCCTGCAGTGGCAGCACGCATTTGCACTATGAAGTGACTGGTCATGTCGGCAGTCATCGTGCCTTTCAGGGGTCGAGTCTGGGAACTTGCATGTGCAGGACTAGTTCATGACTGGGGCACGATGCTCCATGGGCCGTGTCCCCGGTTGTCTACATACAGAAGGACATGGTCATGTTCTGCGCCATGTGTTGCTCATTGTTATGCGTCATATCATCCGGATGCTTCCCTGTTGAGCTGAGATGGCTGAAGTTCGTCCTCGGCCGGTGTTTGCTCGGCCACGCTTACGTGACGCAGGTTTTAGGTTTGGGAGTATACATGAGGAAGGACGTGATTTGAGCCTCCAGTTTAAAGGCTGCTGTCAACTTGTTTCTCCGTGATTGGATCCAAACTTAATCTTGATGATCAACAGCACACTCATTATATCGTCACAATCAAGTAGCCGGATGGTCGTGACGAGCATTGCATGTCACACTTCTCTTGATTTGCCTTCCGATGATAAAGAGATTCTACTGGCGCAAGGTACAAAAAGCGAATATACCCACGACAGTATCATATGTTGAAAATCTCAGTGAAGCGGCCAAGAACTGAACGAGTCAGTGCTACAGTCGTACTCCAAGCCAACAGTACTTCATCGCGCATATAAAGAAGGCTGATCTTGCGTCACCCTTGATAAACTTGACTGCGGCGATGCATGCACCCACAGGTGTGCATTCCTACAGGCGGAGAGCATGTACACGTAACCCAGCACTAACAAAACGTGGCAGATACCTGAATATGTGACGCCATCACAGCATCTTAAAACTAGAACTGTCAAGTCGTGCAACCAAAGCATCAGTTACCTAAGATCTCATCATGCCGTCCAACGAGAGTCAACCAAAGGTAGGCAATAACGCCGTACTTCACAACATCAATCCCAACTACACAGGCTTCGACCATATTAGATGGTATGTCGGGAATGCCCGTCAAGCAGCGACCTACTTCGTCGCCCAATTTGGCTTCCGCATCGTTGCTTACCGCGGACCAGAAACGGGCTCTCACCTAAGCTGTTCGTACGTTCTCACCAACGGAAACGCCCGATTCGTTCTCACGGCTCCCATCACCTCTCCCAACAACACCTGGGACAAGCGGGCCTCAGGCGCAGACCGTCAGCAGTTGGATGAGATCCATGCACATCTCACCAAGCACGGCGATGGCGTCAAAGACATCGCGTTCGCCGTCAACAATATCACTGGCGTTTGGGAACACGCCATCCAGCACGGTGCCATCTCCATCCAGGAACCACAACTCCTCAAAGATGACAGCGGCGAGGTCCGTTCCGCCACAATCCAGACCTACGGCGACACAGCACATACGCTGATCAACAGATCCGCGTATCAAGGGATCTTCCTCCCCGGATACCAAGCCGTATCCGGCCAGGATCGACTGAACGATCTACTTCCCGAGATTGACGTGATCGAAATCGACCATTGCGTGGGCAATCAAGGCTGGAATGGCCTAGACAGCATCGTGAAGTAGTAAGCATCACCTCCCATCCCCATAGCACCTTTCATACTATACACTAACACAACCACCAGCTACGAAGATGCCCTAAACTTCCACCGCTACTGGACCGTCGACGACAAAGAAATGTGCTCCCAATACTCCGCAATGCGCTCCATCGTAATGGCCTCGCCCAACGAAATCATAAAAATGCCCATGAACGAGCCCGCCACCGGTCTCAAAAAGTCCCAAATAGAAGAGTACGCCATACCCTCCCCCCCCGCCACTTTCCCTTTCATTCTCCCCATCAACAACCCCCCCCCCCCCTCTCCCCGGACTATTGATTAACATTCGCCAGATTCGTAGAATACTACAACGGCCCGGGCTGCCAACACATCGCCCTCCTCACCCCGAACATCCTCCAAGCCGTAAAGAACCTCACCACCCGCGGCGTATCCTTCCTCTCCGTCCCAGAGACCTACTACGCCAACATGCGCACGCGCCTCGCATCCGCGAACATCACCCTAGCCGAAGACATCAACCTGCTTCAGAAATACAATATATTGATTGATTTCGATGAGGGTGGGTATTTGCTGCAGATTTTCACAAAGCATGTGGTTGATCGCCCGACGGTGTTTTTGGAGATTATCCAAAGGGAGGGGTTTGATGGCTTTGGGGCTGGGAATTTTAGGAGTTTGTTTGAGGCGTTTGAGAGGGAGCAGGAGGGGAGGGGGAATTTGTAGGTGTTGATTGATTGATTGTTAGGTTGGTTGGTTAGATGGGAACTAGGGACTAGGGTAGAAGGGAGTGGTTGCTGCTATCATTTGGCTTTGCTAGAATAGATCAGGAGTGGGTTGCTTTATAGTACTATTGTCAACACTTGATGTAGTTAAGTAAGTGTCCTTTAACTCATGTACTCCGGTTCAACTAAGGTGAGGAAGGAATACGGCTAATCTAGGTAGATTATCTTCACATCACTATAGAAGTAGAAGAAATTGGTCAAGAACTTCGATACAAGCTAGCTCAACCATCTTATATCAAAACATACAACATCCATACCATCCCGCCAATATCCATTCCATTTCCGTCCCTGAACGCCGTCCCTATGAATAGATATAACGCATTGGAAGAATACCGAGACTAGACCTTATCATAAACGATACTGTAATATAGCAGCATATCATCACTGCTGCTGCGGCTGTTGCGGCGGCGCTGGCGCAGCAGCACCACCCGGGGTAATCTTAGGTCGTTTCGGGTCGTTCTCAACGCCTACCGGTGGAGCAGGCCCGCTGCCGCCACTAGGGTTCGAGGCATTCGTCACATCAGACAAAGGGGGTCGTTTTCCGTTTATGTTCTGCGGTGCGAGGCCCGGTGTAGATGCACGATTGGCGGCCGCAGCTGCGCCCGGGGCATTGATGTTAGGCCGTGTTAAGGGCCGGTAAGATGATGTGGTCATAGGTCTGCTCATGGGGCTGTTCATGCCCGGGGCTCCGATCCTGCGGTTCATATCTTGGGATGGGTTGACGAAGTCCCGGGCGTTGTTTGTTGCTGGGGAGGCGGCGCCGGTTCCGGCGAGCATGGGTCTGGAGACTGGGAGACTCTTGTTATGGTCGATGCCTGCGGTCTTCCGGATGGAGGGACTCTCCGCGTGGGGGTCGAAGACTGGGGCTCCGGATGGGACCCCGTTAGGGTTATCACGGAGGAGGTCGACTGCGCGAGCGGAGAAGAATGATGCGGAGGGCGTGCCGGGAAGTGTGTCTTGCGGTTTGGGGGGTTCGTTGGTGGTGGGTGCCCCAAATTCACGTTTGATGGGCACGGCACCACTTGTGTTTGTTGCGGCGGCGCCTGCTTGTGCTGGTGGGACCATCCGGTTGTTGGGGAGGTTTTGCTGGGGAGCTTGAGGAGGCATAGATTGTCGTTGAGGTGCGGGCTGGTTTTGGGCTGCGGAAGGGTTGAGCCTGCTGTTAAAGGGCTGAGGAGCGGGATTTTGTCTGGCACCGGGTGCTGGGTTGAAGGGCCGTTCCGGCTTGGATGGCGTTACCATGGCTAGGTTGGGTCTTATTGGTGCACGAGCGTTGTTATTGAATGGCTGTCGAGCTACGTTGGGCCCGTTTAAAGGCGTCGGTGGTTGCTTCTGTGTTTCTGGTCCTAGTACTACCTCGTCTGGGTTGCCAGATCCGCCTACCCCAAAGTCGGCTTCATCGAATAGGTCGCCTAAGGAGAAGGTTAGCGGTTGTAAGCGATCGTGACATGCCATTGTACTCACTTCCGAACTCCCCGTCGCCATCGAATGCCATTGAGTCGTCGAGGCTACTGTTCTTGCCAACGTCCGTTGGCCGAGGTGGCAGATCATCGTCTTCGGGACTGGGCTTTGGTTTTACGGGCTCTTTCCTGGGAACGAAGTCTGGGTGACGGTGCAGTTCGTCGACATCCCATTTAGCCTAGAGAGAGTCAGCCGTCGTGAATCGAGTGTCCGCAAAATGGCCACAGACCGGTACAGTCTTCACCTTGGTGACCTTCGAGACATAGTCCTTATCGTAGACACAGTTGCCCAGGACATTGCCGAAGTTCCTCAGAGCCCGCTTTAGAGCATCGGTTGTCCCCTCTTTCTTAGCCTTCTCGAAAGCAGCAGCCTTTCCTTTACAGTTCTCGATATGACCGTAACCGATATCCTGATACGAGTCGAGCTTAGCGTCAGATACAGACAAGCTCGCTGCAACACAGTGATGCCTACCTCATGATATGTGCCGTCTTTCAGAGTCACTCTCACAATGACAGAGAGACCCAGGCTGATCTTCCCAGTATTCGGGCTCTCCTCGACGAAATCAATCTGAATATTCTGAATTGAGCTTGACCAGCCATTGAACCCGAAAACTTCGTTTGCCAGGTTGATGCATTTATCGGCCGACAGGTAGTGTACTCTCTGTCCCGCAGCCCCAGGCCTGGAAGAGATGTATTCGGGGCCGAGCTTCTTATCGAGACGAGCTTGCAAAGTCGCAATTTCCTGGGCAGTGTACTCGTTAATTCGTCGCTGTGGCTCTTCGAATGGATTCGCGGTGATCGCTCCAGTGGAGTTGGGCATCATGATGGACGCTGGATTCCCTCGGTGCTGGTCGCCAACACTAGAGACGCGGTTAACTTCTGAGGCGAATGAGGGAGGAGGAGAAACGGGGCCACCGAGTTTACTTACGCGGGCATTATTATAGTAAAGATAGTGAGTTAACAGACTGGGCGGTCATTGAAAGCCACCAGTGGGACAGTTAATCAGTGAATGACAATCAAACATGCTAGCTCTAGGCGTGTCGACGCGTGATCGATGCCGACACGCCTTATCACGTCATCACGTGATGATATAGCTGCCTGTAATGTATCAATCATGGAATGACTGCCTAATCTACCGAAATAAATGAACAGGAGTCAGGAGGTCTAGAATCAATAAGGTAAATTCTAGCTAGATTTAGGCTTATGATTATTTCGGTTACTTCTCAGCTTCCGTGCTGTGCTAATGCGATGCTGGCATTCTATACCATTCTTCATGCGAGCCTTGCTTTTAAGGCACAAACAAAATCATTACGAACCTCATCACCACTTATTTGGTGATTTGTTGGATATCGTCATTTAAGCTCTCGATTGGCTCCGCTAAAAAGCACCATATAGGCGCAATCACTGGACAACAAGACTTGCGCTAGGGATCAGGCCCAGGTCCTTCAGGGACTCGCCGAAATACTCCGCATCGAAGACCTTCCGGGGAAAGTTCTGCGCAAAGCTGTGTACTTCTATTCCATCCTCCCGCTGCAGAGCTGCAGCGACCTCAAAGAGCGTGGTAGTCACTGGGAGAGTCTTCATGATATTTCCCTTCGATGTCTGGAATCTCAAGCGGGTTTCCGTATAGGCCGAAGCGGGCTTCGAGGCAACGGGACCAGACGTGGTGGCCGCCGGGGCTGGTGCAGGCTGAGCAGGGGGTGCTACACCGGCACGTTCGGCCCTCTCTCGTTCAGCTCGCAGGCGCCGCTCTTCCCTGTCAGCTTCAATCCTGGCCTTGACGCGTTTCTTGGCCTCGATGTCTGCTAGCTTCTCTTTCTTCTTCTGTTCAGCTTCTTTCAGCGCTTGCTTTCGCTGGAGTTCTTCTTTAACGTCCTGGGAGTCCTTGGTGGCCTTCCTGCGGATTTCCTGGGATAGGATTAGCAATCAAATTCCAATCGTAGTCGTAACCATCCGTACCTCATTCCTCTTCTTGTCAATCTTGTCCTGCTCTGACTGTCCCGCCCGCTTTTCCGCTAGTTTCTGTCTAAGTTCTTCGAGCCTTGCCTTCTTTTGGTCTTCCGTCAAAGGAGCAAGCTCTTCGGTTGATTCGGAGAAGTCAACGTGTTGGGATTTAGACGCGTGAAACTCGGCCTGTGCATGGCTCCGGAACTTCTTGCCACACTCGTTGCACACCAAGCTGCGAGCTTCCTCTCCCGGCTGAAGTGCAGGGCCCTCCTCGCTCTCCTCTTCTTTAATTTCCTCCAGTGACTTATCCTGGTTTGCTTCCAGCCATTCGAGAGCACCTTGAACTGCAAAGCGTTATCAGAAAACTGTCAGCGGTCGACACTGTAGTCGGGTTTGATGAGTAACATACTGCCGTTGCCCTTCTTCACTGCAATTTCGGATCTTTCCTTGTCAAAGCCCATTTCAATGAGCTGGTCCAGATCGGAGGAGGCCATGGTGACACTGGCTGTGAAAACGGAGAGGGTGAGGTGGTGGTAGAGTCTCAAAAGCGGGGTAAAGGGATCGTCTTTGCTCGGTAACCGACAGGTCGAGTTGTAAATATGGTATCGCCCGGAGCTGATGAAAACTATAGTCAAATATGGCGCCTTGAGAAAGCGACGATAGAGTGGGGAAATGTTTGAGCGTTGGGAAGAGCTGGGCTTGCGGGTGACGTATCGATAGCTTGAGCTGAGTGATAGATGGCCGGCTGCGGAATGTCCCGCCGCCCAGCCGCCCCCAAGCGGCATCAGGTACACCAATGTTCTGGACCTTTCCAGCCTTTCTCTAGAGCTCGTACAGCTGGAGAAGGTCTACATGTTTCTCTCTTGCCAGTCACTGTCTGTGGATCTTTGTAAATTCATTTCAGGATTGATAATATGTCCAAGGTCCTAAAATTGAGCGCTTGCGGGCTGGAATAAGATAGCAAATCGCACCCAGGACACTACTCGCACAGAAGTAGTTCTACAATTTAGGATCAATATGAAGATTGTCGTACTTTTACAGCGCTTATGTTGAGCTTCAATAAGACAAAATGCCCTATGGATATCTAGATGCACGAGTCACAGCTGATGTCCCGATCGTGCAGGATTTGTAAAACACTCATTCGCCCATCATCTCAAACGATTTATTGCTAGTGATCAAGAAGAAGCTGTGGTTAGCTGCCATTCGGCTTTGCTAGATTGCTGACAGAGCCGATCTATGATGAGACTCTGAAAATGCCTCAACAGGCCCCGAGAAACAATAGAGCAGATAGTATAAGTTAGATCGACCAATGGATTCCGGCAGATGTGTGATTTTGGCGCCTGACAGCCGTCATAAACCAATCTGGGAGATTGGGTACCTATGGCTTCTTGGTTGCATGGTGTCTGGCGAACAACAGCTGTTCAGCACGATTGGCGCAAATCCTGGAAAGTCAGCGCATAGGGCGCCCCGGATCGAGGATCACTGTTGGCATTAGAGCCCACTTCAGCATTTGAGTTTGGTACCCATGAAACCTGCTAATCTTCAAAAGTTCGGTGTGACGGCGTGCCTGGATAGAGCTGTACAGTAAACGAACTGACAAGATAGCCTCGTATTGAGTCACTGAAAAGCGTCGTGATTCAAGATTGACCAGCTGGCAAAAGTGTTTGGAAAGAGGGAATCACCCTATTGCAAAGTGACAACTGGAAAATCTCCGTTTCAAACTAAAAAGAAAAGAAGGCTAATGGTATGCAAGACATCCGCCCATCTCTAGAGATAGTGGACACTTAGCTCGAACCATTTAATTGATTATTTTTAGACGATGTCATTATAGTGGATCCCGAATCAGGACCCAGAACTGACAAGAGTACTCCGTAGTAAATAAGGTACGGAGCAATTGGTGTGGATGGAGTCTAGACAATGGAAGCCGACAGCGACCGCAGTGAGCGTTGTTCGGCAGCTGCCCATCTCTGGTCTCTGAAGACAGCGAGCAGAAATGGAGAGGATGCAGATTGCCTGCACTTCCTGCAGGTACTTTGCTGGCTTGAAACGAGGCTCAAACGGCCATTGCCAGACCCCGTGATGACATCACCTGACCAGTGCCCCCGTGGCCGTAGCTGAGTCAGCACCCCGGTCCAACCAGCAGTTGCGACGGCGAGACCAACTGGATTCCGTCTCGCTCCCCCCGAAACGGAGAGTTGCGCCTGAACAGTTAATCATTCTGCCTCGTGGTTGGCATCCACTTTGTCGTTGACTACTTCTGACCGATTTCCCTCCTTATCATCCAGTCTTCGTAAGGTATCTATTTCTTCGGCGGGTCCTGCTGCTGTCTTCCCTCGCGACTGATCCTCTTTCCTCGGCGCACTCTCAATCTAACTTTCTAAGGGCCACCCTCTCCCGCACTGCTGGGACCATCTTCTGTACACTACTTCATCCGCGCATCCCTTTCCTTCCTGTGTGACATACTCTTCACCCTCTATCCAACATGTCTATTATTCTCGAGCCCCCGGAGTTGGGATTCAAGCGTACGTGGTGTCCTGAATCTATCTATATACTGCCCTCCTGAAAGTATCCGAAGCTGACTAAATCCCCAGGCCCCTTCGATCGTGAGGTGTGCCAGATCTTGCATTTGAAGAATGACAACGCTGAGCCCGTGGTCTTCAAGGTTCGTTATATCGACTTCCCTGAACATCTCTGGATTGCCTTAACTAACAACGACTTTCCCTCCAGGTTAAAACGACTGCCCCTAAACAGTACGTGGCCACACCCCTTCGTCACTCGACATACTAGTATCGTTGTAACAACGGTCTGACATGGAATAGTTACTGTGTTCGCCCGAACTCGGGCCGGATAGACCCTGGAAAAAATGTCGACGTTCAAGGTTGGTTTCTCGGTGTTTTGTTGGATTGATGCCGTTGCGCAATGGCTGACGGTCTTGATAGTTCTCCTTCAGGCCATGAAGGAGGAACCTGCAGATGATGCCAAGTGCAAGGACAAGTTCCTAGTCCAGACTGTTGCCGTCACTCGCGATATGGAGTTCGCCAATGTTACTTCTATTGTAAGTCTGATTTCATGGTGTTCCCCACCGGCAGCGATCTAACATAACCCATAGTTCGAGAAATCTTCCAAGGCCTCGCTTCAAGAACGCAAGATCCGTGTGAACTGGCTGCCTGCAGATGATTCCTCAGCTGCCGAACAAGTCACCGAAACGAATGGCGTAAGTAACCCCTCACCGACCCCTTTTCGGTTCTCCAGCCATCGGATAACTAATTGTTCTATTCAGACTATGACGGAAGAAGAACCCCCAGCCTACACCTCTCCTAATGCGAACTTCCAGACACCTGCTGCAGCAGTTGCTAAAAGCGCTAACGACACGTCACCGATCCCACCGCCAGATTTCAGCGATAAGCCCAAGCGGGAAGTGTCGACCCCACAAGCAATTACTGAGAGCCCAGCCACGTCTACAAAGTCGGCCATGATGGGCGGGGCAGCAAGTTCAAGCGATGATCTGAAAGCCCAATTGTCCGAGGCTAATGCTCAGATTTTGGCGCTGAAGGAGAAGCTGGCAGATCAGGGCCTGAGGCAGCGGAAGATCGGAGGTGAAACCGAAAAGGCGCCGGCGCCATTGGTGCAGCAACAGCCGCAATCTGCCGAGGCAGGCGTGCCAGTGCAGATGGTCGCTGGCTTGTGCCTCCTCAGCTTCCTGATCGCATACTTCTTCTTTTAATTTCTCAGTCTTTTGAGTCGTCTTCTTTATGCTCCGCGCTCGCTTGCTCTTCTTTTTTCTTAGCATCTTTTACCCGCCATCCGGTTCTATCAACCAACTGTATTCTCTTCTGGAGTGTCCAATTTCCTTCAACAGCTTTGTCGACATCGGCAATGATGGTGTCCATGTGATACCTACTATTTTATCATTTTGCCGCTTCGTTCACAGCTGGCTTATCTGGCACCTCGGTACGGCCTTTCACTTGACTTTTCTTTTTTCTATTATCCTTTCCATTTTTCTATTACCATAACCTTTACCCCAGTGTCCGAAAATTGCTCCCGGCGGCTGTGATGGGATGATGCAGTAGATGGGAGGCAGGGGCGGTTCTGTCCGTTCCATGGAATGACCATGCGTGGGCCCATCTTCTCTGCCCTTGCAACTCTCCAAGTGGTCGGATGCCTTAACCCCTGACTCTATCCCAGCGTTTCTTCTCCTCCTTTATTATTCTCTTGTCTTCCTTTTCCAAGTCTCCTTGCCCAGTCTTGTGTTCCCAGCGACATAACCGTTTAGACGAATGCACGCGTCCATAGTTTCAGTCAGTCAGGCAATAAAGCTAATCATGATGATGCCATTGAAATGTCTATTGCATTGCCCGTTTTCTTTGTACTTGTATGTCGGAAAAGTTGTCTCAGCGATGAAAACACAATAAATTATAATTGGTCTTCCCATACTGCTAAAGTAACTATACACAATCTAAGTCATACTCAACTATGTCACATACACTTTGGAAAATAAGGAGGTAGATAGATGAAAAATGACATCATGTCATGTAAATAAAATCAGTCGGTCAATCCCAGCATACAATCGACATCAGGTACCAGCACCAGTCAGTCAGTTAGTTCATCATGGAAACAACAAAGCCATGGGATATCATCTCTAGTATAGTATGTCACAGGTCATCAAACGAAACAATCAAACAATCGATACCGTCCACACGGTACACATGATACATACAACATGTAGTTGAGAAAACAGATGATAATCCAAATCAATTCTGAATCTCACTCTCCTTCCACCCATCTCCCGATTCGCCCTCCGGACCAGCCGACGAAGCCGAGATGCTTTCACCCGCGCGCCCGCCCCCACCACCGACGAGACGACCGCCCTGCGCACGCTTAACCCGACACCACATGCCGACGTTCTTATCCAGGATGAACGTCCAGATCACCCACACCCAGCTGTGATGGCAGGGGAGGGGTTCATAGAATTCGCTAGCGATGCGGTGCAGCTCGTGCAGTCTTGTCCAGGGGATAGCGGGGAAGTCGTGGTGCTCGTTATGCAGGCCCACGTTGTAGGTGAAGAAGTTGAGGGGGCCGTAGTAGGAGTAGGTTTCCGGTGGGGGGAGGGAGTCGAGAGGGTGAGACTTCTTCTGGTTATTCTTCTGCTCTTGGATGGATTCGGTGCCGTGGCCAACTTGGGAGAAGAAGTAGTGCTCTGCGATGAAGTGACCGGCGCAGGGGTGGAGAGAGCCGGCGAGGAAGGAGCTCAGGAGGAGGTAGAGGAGGGGTTGGAGGGAGCCGCCGCAGAACTTGGTCAGGGCGTAGTCAAAGGTGAGCTGGGTGATCAGGTTCAGGACGTGGATGGAGGTGAAGGGAGGGCTGTAGATGAACATGGGGCGGACGGCGTAGAAGAGGATCTGGAAGGTGCAGAAGAAGGCCTTTCCGAGGATGGAGTCGAGGAGGAAGGCTTCGACGGCGGTGGGAAGGTCGGTGTCTAGGCCGGCGACGCCGAGGGACTTGTGATGGGTGAGATGGTAGGGCTGTGAAGCGGGAGAAGTTAGCTTTAGCTTCTTGTATACTTGTTTCATGTGCTTCTTCTGGGCTTTGGTGGTCTGACGTACCCGGAACGCAGCACTGTAGGGCAAACCGATCGGGATGTTGGCGAAGATGGCCAGCAGACGGTTGGCCATGGCAGACCGGAAGGCGAGGTTGTGGGAGATCTCGTGGATGGCGAGGAAGAGGTTCTGGTTCGAGGTGGCTCCGATCACGTATGCAGTTGCGAGAAATTTCCAGTCGAGCATGGAGGTGTTGCGGAGCAGGTAGGCGCAGAGGACCTGGAGGGAGACAACGCCGAGAACGACATATTTGGTCAGGGGCTCTGGTCCGCAGAGCTTGGTGACCTGAAGGAAGCACAGAGGATGTCAGTAAATGATTATTTGGCGGAAAAGGCCACGGAGAAGTATGTGCATACCTCCGGGTGCGCTTTGATGATGGCTTGTCGTCTGGAGCGGTGCGGCTCCTCTGTGTATGTCCAGAAGAAGTGATCATCGACAGCGGAGGCTTCTGGAGGATCGATTCTGGTTGAAGGCTCTGTTTCATCGGGGGTAGCTTGCGCAGCCTGGCCCTTGGATGCGGACACGCGGAGATGCGGTGAAGCATCCGCGGTGGCTTCGACGACGGACGAAGACATAGCGAGGGACGAGTAGGGGTGAGATGACAGACTTTCCAGGTGGCAATCTACGCCATAGATGACTGCGACCGAGGAGTAGGAAGGAGGAAGAAGAGAGTGTGGGAGAGAAATGGGCTGATGGGAGAGCGCAAGGGACAGAACAACGTGAGTTTCGGAGCGGATGCTTTCCACGTGGGGCTACCCGGGTCCACGGATGGTCCGATTTCATCTACGCTTTTTATTACTCGGTGAAAAGTTATACATAATCATCGGCATCATTGGTCAATAGTTAACATGCATTTCATATACTTGGTTCGTTTCAAATAAGGCTAATTGGAGTGGTACAATCCCTAAACCCTCGACCAAAGATAGTTCAACCTAGTAGTCGTCGCCGCGACTGATGACTTCCTTTACATTGGGTCGAAGGACAATCGTCTGTCGTCTGGTTAGCTGTATGTCTATAGATCGTGAGAGATGCAGAATGACGTACATGTTCATACTGGGCAGTGTAGGAGCCCTTGATATCGCAAAGAGGCGGGTAGTCCTGGACAATTCCGGACGAGACCAGGTTGTTCAACTGCACCAGCTGATTAGCATTTGACACATTACGAAGCAGAGGATTCACTCACCCCAAGGAGGTACTTATCCTGGCCCAACCGGTCAAGGTAACGGCGACAGAAGGGAAGAGTACCGAAGTTCTTGTTGATGACGTTCAACAAGTTCTTCGCCGAAGAGAGACGCAGAGGAACCTGACTGTGATCAGGGATCAGAGCGTAGTGAGAGGTTTCCATCTTCATATCAGTTAGCTACTGAACAAATTCTGACCAATAAATGTCGACAACTTACATCCTCTCTCACGTAACCCTTTCCGGTACTACCGAAGGTCTCAATGGCAAACACTTCACCCTCCTCCATCTTGGTCTGGTCGCCACCCTTGACAATGGGAACACTCTTGCCACCGTGGATGATGTGCTGGTCAATGTTGTGACCGTTGAGGTTCCGGATACACTTGACGGGATACATGGTCCCGTTGATTTCAACTTCGTAACTCTCCATGGCTTCCTGGACGGCGGCACCAATGTCGCTCATGCGGACGTCGATACCCGCTTCCTACATCAAGCTGTTAGTAACCAGGGACCCGGTACTAGGATAGAAACTGTAGACATACGCGGATACCAGTGTTGGTAGCATCCTTAACGGCGGCCAAGAGAGGGTCATACACCGGGTCAAAGGCCACGGTGAAAGCACTGTCGACGATGCGGCCGTTGATGTGGGCACCGAAATCGACCTTCATGACATCACCCTGCTGCAACACCATCTTGTTGCCAGCGTTGGGGGTGTAATGGGCCGCGCAGTGGTTGATACTGAGACCACAGGGGAAACCCATACCACCCTTGAGGTTGTCACCTTCCTCAAGACCCTGGTGACCAGTCAAGGCACGGACGGATTCTTCAATACCCTCCGCAATCTCCGTGAGGGTCTGACCAGGCTTAATGGTCTTCTGCGCATACTGACGAACCTGACGGTGCACCTCAGCGGCCTGACGGTACTCCTGCAGGAAGTCATTCTTCATGCGGTCGAGGTAGCGCTTCTCCTCATTGGTGGTGCGGTACGAATTCTCATTCTGGTACTCGACGATCTCACCCTCGGGATATTCCTTGCCGGCGAATAGAGTCGACAGGGGGACGCGCGGAGGAGAGGACTGGACCTTGGCGCCTCCCTTCTTCTTCTTCTTGGACTTGCGCTTCTTCTTTTTCTTGGCGGCTGCACATCCGCGGATTTGGTCAGTGCGGGGAGAATTCTGGAATTGGCCCGAGGGGTTGGTAATCCGTGGAGAGATAGCGCACCTCCGCTGGCTGCACCCTCGCCGGCAGCATTTCCATCCTCTACTTCATCATCGTCGGAGTCGTCCTCCGCCTCTCCGGCTTGTGCTTGACCAGCGGCAGGGGCGTCCGCCTTCGCGTCGCCGCTTTGACCGTTGACTAGAGAGCGAGCGGGGAAATCTTATCAGCTTACTGCAAGCGGATGGTAGAGGAGGGTTCGGAGATCAGCAACGGGAATCGTTCAGTGACTTACGGTCGAGCTTCTGCAGCTTCTCGCTAGCCTGGGCAGCCATGTTGAAAAGCTGGGCAAACCGGGATGGATTGGTGGTGGGCTGATGGAGGGGAAAGAAAAATGAGGGCAAAGCGGCAACCGTCGGGGAAAAGACGGTCAATGCCAAGCCTGAAGGTTGCCTTTTGGCTGTTTTCAGGGTTCCGCGGCGCCAACTGGTTAGTTAGTATTGGAGCCCTAGCTGGTTGTCTAGATTAATGCTGTGGAGAAGCTTCAGGTCAGGTACAACCTGCAGCTGCGAATTGAATGCGTTGACCGTACTAATTACTACAAACTATACAAAAAGGGAGATCTATATGTGTAGGTATCAGTGTCTGCTAACATTGCAATTGGTCGCGTGCGTCTGAAGCCTGCAGAAACCTGTCTGACCGAACCATCGACATTGATTAGAGAATACGAAAGAGGGATACTATGCATAGAAGATACATAACGGGCTATAAAAATGGAAAAAGCGACAATGTCATTCAACAGCATCTAGAACCACCATAAATGCACCTACATCCATACATGCACACCCATACACCACCAGTAACCCAGATCAAGAGAAACATTAAGAGAACAAACAATGAAACCACTTAACAGATCTCTTCAACAATATCCCGAGATCGAGATACACAATCTACACCTAAGCATAGCACCAAATACAACGTAGCACAAAGTATATCTACGAAGTAGTAAGAAAGCAAGATCCACCACCAGATCAGATCAGATAAACCCGACCGATGACGCAGCTCCGCCTTCCGAAGAGCGGCGGATTTCCTTCTCTCATCTTATCCCGACCCAGCACCGATAAGTTACAATCTCCAACTCTCCCTCCATTCAATCGCGCCCTCTTCCCTTCCCTCCTAACCCTCACCCTCTACCTAATGTAACTCACCATCCCTAATAACCAACACAACACAACACAACCCTCAAAAAGAACCATGACCTTCCCTCGTCTCCGGGGGCCCACGGCCACCCGCCTCCGACAGACCACCACGATCACCACCAACACACCCTACACCAGACCAATCTACCACCGAACATTCACCTCATCCACCCCCCATTACTCCCCCACCGCACGCGAACCAACCTACTACGAAATCCTCGACGTTCCCCCAACCGCCACCCAAGCCGAGATCAAAAAGTAACCTTCCCCCAATCCCATCCCCTCCCTCCTCACCCCCAACTAAACCAATTCCCAGGAAATTCTACGCCCTCTCCCTCCAACACCACCCGGACCGCAACCGCGACGACCCCAGCGCCTCCAACCGATTCGCCCAAATCTCCAGCGCCTACAACACCCTCAGCAACGCCACGAAACGCAGTATCTACGACCGCGACCACCACATCCACATCCATGCATCCTCGACCCACAGCACCGCAAACCCCGGCCAACACCCCATGGGCAGCTATAGCAGCTACAGCGCGAACCTGCACACGAAGGGGGCGTCGTACGCGGGGTCGCGCCCCGCCAGCGGATTAAGTAAACGACGGGGTCAGTTTCGTGGGCCGCCGCCGAGTTTCTATGCGCATGGGGGGTATGGAGGGACTGGGAGGCGGGCTGGTGCTGGTGCTGGTGTAGGTGGAGAGGGTAGTGGTGGTGGTAGTGCGAAGGGGACAGCAGAGGATGATCCGACGTCATTTATTCATCGGAATACGGTGTGGCATTTTAATGCGAAGGGGCATTATAGGACGCAGACGAGGGAGGATGAGAGGAGGCAGGAGCGGAGGTCGAGGGAGATGGCTGGGGCGTCGCATATTAATGATAAGTATCTTGGGAGTCCTGGGGCCATGGCTGTTAGGTTTATTGTGGTCTGTGGGATATTGATGGGGGCGGGCGCTATGACGGGGGTGTGGAACGGTGATCGGGCCGGTGGGCAGACGAAGACTACTAAGTCGGTGGGGAGGAAGGAGGGTTGATCGGGGTTTAGGGTGTGGTCAGTACTCTTCCTGGTGGATTGGGTTGGTTCTGTATATTGGGGGCAACTGGCTGGTCCATTAGACATTCATCTGGCGCAGGATCTGCTTGGGAGGTCAATTCGGCATGCATTCGGTTATAGCTGGTTCTATACCCGCGACTCTGCGGAGAGTCTCTATGTGTATATACTATAGACGGGTTTGGCTTGAAACAAGGAAATATAGGCTTGATTGATATACACTATCGTTGAAAGGGTGTGATACATGATTATTATCTAAACATCCATATAACAACCCCGCGCCCACTCCCAACTCCCATCCCGCGTATACCAACAGCCGGACGAGACAACCAGGAATCAATCGATAATCTCAATGACTTCCGAAATCTACTCTATCAGGCAGTATCGGAGCGCAAAGGACTAGGCATGAGCGGGTGCTGAAAACAAGGAGAATTCATCTAAGCCTCGAAGGTGAAGCTGGCGCCAACCTTGTGGGCAGCCTGGTTCAGGTTCTGGGTATCGAAGGAAGCACCAAGGCCGAGGGTAACACCAGGGCGGAGGAGAACGTTGTAGGCCAGAGCGGCAACACCACGGTCGTTGATCTTGGCCTATAGAAAATGGGTTAACGATTGACCAGAGCTTCTGAGGGTGTTACGTACCTTGGCGAAGGAAGAGGGGTCGAGGCGGTACTTGCTGGCAACCTCAAGGCCGACGGAGTTGCCGGTCTTGGAGTCCCAGGTAGCCTTAGCACCAGCCTCAACCTGAGCGTTGACGCGGTGGTAGTAGCTGGCGGAGAAGACGGTCAGGTTGTTGCCAGCGGTGATGGCAGCGGAGTACTGGGGAACGCTGTAGCCAACGGCAGCGGAGTACTTGGTGATGGCGGCCTTCTGGACGTCGTAGCCACCCTCAGCACCGACGAGGAAGCCCTCGTGGCCGAGAACAGCGTCGAAGTTGGCGGAGGGGCCGTTGAGGAGGTCGAAGAAGGCACGGGCGTGCAGGTTGGGCTGCTTGAAGTAGAGGTTGAGCTTAGCACCCTTGGACTGCTTGGCAGGGAGGTACTGGGTCAGGATCTCAGCCTTGAGACCCTTGGCGATGTTGTTGTCGAGCTCGAGCTTGGTGTCGAGGGCGTTGGCAGTGGTCCAAGCCTGGGTGAGGGTAAGGCCTGGGTGGGGACGGATAATTAGCATTCCTGCATGTTCCACAATCCTGGACATGAAGTGAAGGAAGAAGCGCTGGGATGGGGCATGGCTGCACGCAAATATGAACGTGAACCTATCCTCAAGCACTGCTGGGGACGAAGGGACGGGTGGTGTGCGCAAGGGATGTTCGCATTGTTTTTTGCGTTTCCGGGGGCCTTTACCAGTGGGCTGGTCAACGTACTTGGCCTCGAGCTATAGCAGGATGATAGTTAGCATTATAATCCATAATCAATGGAAGGACGCCGAAGGGATTGGTGAACTTACGGAGCCAGCAATGGGACCCTCGTGGGCAGACTTGCCCTTCACGTTGAAGGTGACGCCATTGGGAGCCTTGGACTTAACCTCGAGGTTGGCTAGTAACACTTGAGTCAGCCGAGTCGCGCGCAAAAAGGGAAAAAGCAAACAACCCAATTCAGGGGTGCAGGAATTGGGAGGGAACTCACCGGCGCTGTTGTGGTAGAAGTCCTTGTTCAGGAGCTGTTGTGCAGAGGATTAGCACGAAAATCCCTTCCCGGGAAGCTGTCTTCCAAGGTAACAAATTTCAAAGGTGGTGAGGGCAGCATACATCGTTGGCCGCCTTGGCGATGTCGGAGAAAGCAGCAGGAGCAGACATTGTGAATGAGGTGGTATAGGAGATGACGAAAACGTCAGAAGGAGATAAGAGAGGATAGAGTGGAAAGGCTGAAGATGATGAGGGGAGAAGGAAAGGGAAAGGGAAACGATGGGGAAACCGGGCAGGAAAGAAGGTCGAAGTTGAGTCGCCAAACAATGGGGAAGCCACGGGAGAAACCCCCCACCCTGATTGGTCGGTGCTCGGTTGCCGGTAGAAGCCGCTAAGTCCCGTGATGTCGATGCCTGGCGGCTGAGATTCCGCGCCTGAATTGCGAGTCAACCTTTCCCAGGTTTCCCGAGAGTTCAGCCCGCCGTGTTTTGGCTACTACTACTAACACTAACTAGTTACTTTGTAGTTAGTTGCTTGCTTATCCTCGGCTTCCGTTCGTCCTGAATTATGAGGAAAAACAAAGTATAATTGTTTTCTTTATCTTCTCTCAATAATATGAAGAAAAAAAAAATACATAATTTACTTACTGTGTTATGAAATTGACCGCTTCTCAGAAACATAGCAATTGTATCATCCTGGATGCCCTGTCACGCATCCCCATCGGTACAGCATGCATGGACCTACCATGGAACCCAGCCCAACCACATGGGGTTCGTATGACCGTGACAACGCATGTCCCTCCTGATCAGCATCATCCGCGCTTGACTCATAATCCGCCGGTGTGGTAACCTCGCCCGAACTACTCTCAACCATTTCTACAATTCTTACAAATCTTGTCGATCGAACACGGACACCACCAGTAGTGGAAAAAGACATCATAGATGAAAGAAAAGGAAAAGCCAATACGCGGTGATCCCGACGCATCTAACTGAAATTCGCTTTTTTTCGCGTCCCAATGAGTATCCCTGGTAAATCATCTATACATGGTTCTATACCCAAACTCTCCGCAAGAAGTTAAGACACGCAATATTCATTACCCAGACATTTAAACGGCGTTTTCATACTTGGCGTTGTGAGTCGCAATAGCTCTAATAAGGTCAAACATATCAGCTGTCTATTTTCTTCTGCGTTCTGATGCATCATATGCTTACCTGCCACTCGGGTCGGTCTGCTTGGACCAGGTCGGTACCCAACGCTCAACAGTGCCAGCACAAGAAGCCGGGAAGAGTTCGTCGAACATCGTGCGGTACCAGTAGCTAAGAAAATGTCAGTCCTGTCTTCGGCAATACAATGACACAAAACTCTAAACATACGCTTCCTTGGTGTCGGGAATATCACTACCCCACTCGGGCTTGGGGTTCTTCATCATCTCGTCGGTGACGTGCGCCTCAGCCTGGTCCTTGAGGGCGTCGATCCAGCTGTAGCCGACACCGTCACTGAACTGCTCCTTCTGGCGCCAGAGAATGTTGTCGGGCAGGTAGGGCTTAACGTCGGGCTCGTCGGTAGTGTCGAAGGCCTTGCGCAGGATGTACTTCTCGATACGCTCCTTGGTGATCATCTTCTCGGCAGGCTCAACACCCATGCAGGTCTCAAGGAACTCCTTGTCCAGGAAGGGAACACGGGCTTCCAGACCCCAGGCAGAGGTGGACTTGTTGGCTCTCAGGCAATCCGCCAAGTGCAGGTTCTTGACACGGCGGACAGTCTCCTTGTGGAACTCCTCACGGTCGGGAGCAGCGTGGAAGTAAAGGTATCCACCGAAGATCTCGTCACTACCCTCACCACTGAGAACCATCTTGACACCCATAGCCTTGATCTTACGGCTGAGCAGGTACATGGGGGTGGAGGCACGGATGGTGGTGACATCGTAAGTCTCCAGGTGGTAAATGACGTCGGAGAGGGCGTTGAGACCGTCCTCAACGGTGAAAGTGAAAGCATGGTGCTTGGTTCCGAGGAACTTAGCCACCTTGAGGGCGGCCTCGGTATCGGGGGCACCAGGCAGACCAATGGAGAAGGAGTGCAGCTGCTGGAAGGTGGTGACGGTGGACAGATCGTTGGAGTCGTCAATGCCGACCAACTCGTTGAGCTCAGCGCCCTGGGCTTGGGCAGCCTTGGCGGCCTCCTGCATACGCAGGGTTTCACGCTGAGCGATGGAGGCGACCAAGCTGGAGTCGAGACCACCGGAGAGCAAGACACCATAGGGGACCTCAGCCATCAGACGCTTGCGAACAGACTTCTCGAGAGAAGCGCGGATGACCTTGTAGTCAACAGGGGCGGAGGGAACGTTGGTAGGGTCCCACCAGGTCGGTTCGAAGTAGCGAGTGAAAGAGCCGGTCTTGGAGTCGAAGATGTGGCCAGGAGGGAAAGCCTGGATCTTGTCGCAAACCGGGTGGAGAGACTTCAGCTCGGAAGCGAAGTAAACGGCTCCAGGGGTCTCGGAGGACCAGCCGATGTAGAAACTGGTGATACCAATGGGATCACGAGCGGCGACAACCCTGTCCTGGTTCTTGTCGTAGAGAACCCAGGAGAACATGCCATCCAGGTGCTTGGGGGCGTCGAGGCCGTGTTCCATGTACTAAACCCATCAGCAACCCTATACAGATACACACCAGAAAATATCCTTCGCACATACCAGAGGAATGACGACCTCACAGTCGGAATGCGTCTTGAACTCATACTTGGTCTTCAGGTTCTTCCGGAGGATACGGTGGTTATAGATCTCGCCGTTGACGGCCAGGGCAAGGGAGCCATCGTCGTTGACAAGGGGCTGGGCACCAGAGTCTGCAAAGAAAACACGTTAATATTGATATCGAAACGATCCGCGGCGGAGGTAAAACATCACATACCAACACCGACGATACACAGACGCTCGTGCGCGAGGACTGCCAGTCAATTAGTCACCATCTTCTTCCAGCCCACGAAGCTGCTCAACTCACTGGTCTTCTCAGACATCCAGCTTCCGCCTAGACACAAGTCAGAAAAACGTCCACCACCAGCATGCTTGCCAAAAAGGCATTATGACTCACTCCAATCGGGACCACGGTGGCGCAAACTGTTCAACAGCAATCAGCACCACATTCACCATCAAAAGTGAACCAGAAATACTTACGCCTTGGCCATGCGCAGGGCCGTAGGCTTGAATTTTTGCACATCAGGGTGACTATAGCAGTTCAGATTAGAGGGTGTGACTCAAAACGGAGAGCGATAGTGGCGCGGGGCCCGCAAAAGAAATCAAAGACTTTGAAAGAGAGAGAGGGGAGAGAGAAGAAAGATTCCAGAATTAGCCCACATACTGATGACACGCGAAGATACCACACATGCTGACTACAATTCAATTGATGAACCGACTCAGGTAGACAGCAAAAAGGGAAGCAATTGACTAATCGAAAGATAGGAGAACGAGGGGAAAGAGAGAGAGATGATGCGGGAAATCTTAAATATGGATTGGAAAAGCGACACAACCCGTTCGCGGCGGCGGGGCGGAACCCGAGGGGCGATTTCGGCCACAAATCTCAGTGACTCACTTCCGATAAGATAGCCGCTAATTCTCCTACGCGGAAAACTGAATGTGTTGCTGTGACGGTTACTTTTCTTCTTCTTTCTTTCTATCTATGTCATCCTTATTGGTTGTGCCCTGACAGGTTGGGTCGGGTTATCTAGTTGGTTCCAACGTTGTTGGTGTCCCATTTTCCTTCAACTGTCTGCACATCCCCCACATTTTCTATTCTACTAAAAGTACTTTCTCCGGATTTTTGATCTTTCTGGAACTTGTTTTACTTTTACGCACTAAGGATGACAGATTGGAGAAAATTGAGTTGGAGTCGATTAGAGAGGACCCTCCCCCCACTCAAGGGGCACAAGCCGTCTGTCTATGGTATGATCATCCGAAAATCGGTCACCAGCGTGCACCCCCAGTGGTAGACATAGATAGAAGTATGCGAGAATCCCAAAGAGAATGAAGGGACATAAGCTAGATAAATCGCATTAAGATAGTGTCAAACGCCGTCCCGAACCGCCCCGTTTTGTCAGTTCTATGTACGCCACGCTGCTCGCTAAGAAGAAAACCCAAGTATTCCACACCTCCAAGACAGGAGAATAGTTAAGACACACCTGCGCCCATGCGACATTCCGGAACCTATTTGACTGCAATGGCGCGCTGAGCATGATCATAAACTCCCGAGCGGGTGTATCTGCGCTCTCCCTCTTGGAAGGCTTCCCGTCCTTCTACCCCACGGGGGAACACCTGGTCTAAGACTCTTAAGCCGCCATACCCGCCGTGAAATTCGCAGAACTGGGATGAAGTTGGGGGGACGGAAATAGACACACGATGGGCGGAAGAGTAGCTTCGTGGTGGGATAATAAATTGTCATGCCGTCGTGGGGCGTTCTTTAAAGGGCCGGGTTCTCCCTCACGACCTGTTTAACTCGCTTCTCGTACGCTGGGCGGTCCTTCTTGAACAGGTTGTATGCCTCAGCCTGGGCTGGTGACTCCGGGTTGGGGTCATCTAGCAGGTCCTGAATACCCAGGAGAATCTGCTTGATTGTGATTGCGGGTTTCCACGCCTCCTCCTCGTTCAAGATCGAGAGACACACGGTGCCGGAGGGATAGACGTTAGGGTGGAAAAGCGGAGGCACAAATTTGCCTATTGAATGCGAATACTCTAGTTAGCTTATTGCGCGAAACGAAGCCTTTCAAACAGCACGGACGAGTGGCGTTGGGAATGGTACGGGAGAGAGGGGAACCTACACTTCGGCGGCTTAGTGGGGTATTCTGCGATAGAATGCGGGTTAGCAGGTTTGTCGCATAGAGCACCAGTCGATAGGCTTCACTCACCATCGGGAAAGGTAACGTCCAGCTTGAAAAGTCCGCCTTCCCAGAGTGTTTGCGCCTTGCCGGGGATACCGCACTCCCATCGTTTGAGGTCAAGTGTTCCTTGAGGAGTCCGATGCGGCTTTGCGTAGAAGCCAAAAGGGTGGTCTCGACGCCACTGCTTTCTGTAGATGGTCGCGTTTGGGGTTAGTTAGAGAAGAGACACGCCACAATATGCATATGCGGTGTTGTCAATCACATACCTCTCCTCCGTCAGACGGTTCTGGCAAAGCGACATTTTGGGGATGCGGTTTCGGAGTACGTAGGTGGGCTGGAACCGAAGAAGGCTGGGATGACGGCGAGAGGGTTGAGGGGGTTGGGAGGGAGAGAGGAAGAAGAGAAGAAAGCGAGGCGGGAGGAACGAGGTCAGAGGGATTTAAAGGATAGTGAGGTAGGCAAATTAAGGTCGGCCGTGAATGCGCAGACGAAGTAACACTGTCTTGGGCGTGCAGCTGCTCATCGCTGGGTTTGATGCCCCACAGCCAATCAGTCCCCGGCGGCGCTGCAGTTTATCGCCGTCACATGACCTCATAGATCCGCATCGAACTTTTTGATCGATGGAAGTTCATTGGCACGTCTTCCATTTCCTCCCTCTGCAGTTGTGCCTTGGGCGACGGAACCAATGGGGTCTTCCATGTGTCCTTGCGTTGTACATGGTGGTTTTATTGGATACACACAGTTGACATGCAGCAATTATTCCCGGAGATCGCCGTCAGCCAACTCAAAAGCACAGAGATACCATGTACCAATGAAGTAATTAGTTAAGAGGTTACTGCTACTAGTCTCTCCAACCACTCCAGCAACTTCCTCATATCGGTGGTATATTAGTAGCTGCGCTATGGTTGTAGCAAATAGCCTTTGTCAGGATGTATAGACTATCTCAAACAACATAGTATATTGTATGTATGATTTAGGCAACAACCACTGTGGAAGGAGCCTGGAAGCAAGTATATCTCATGCTTTGAATCACATGACCTTAATGCAGTATAGATAGCCACAGGGGAAATCATGATACCTGGTCTTTGGGCACTGATAGTAATGCAAACAGTGACCTGGTTAATAAGTAAGAATCACTGAAATGGATGCATTCTCCTAGTAGTCTTGTTCTGGCTTCCCAAGATGATTATGCTAAGTGCCGCAAGAGGTGAGAGAATTGTCTCTTGCTTGTATTCTTCAGTTCGCAACTTGTGAGGTATCATGTACAGAGTCCCTTCCCGCTATTAGCTGTCGTATATCCCCTGTTCAAA